GAAGTGCGGAAAAATGGGACAAGAATAAACGAGTAGCGAAAGGTTTAATCGTCAATTACTTAGCTGATTCGATTAAGTATAATAACGCCTTCAATCACAACAAGCGAAATTTTCAAAAATCTAGATGCACTGTATGAAAGAAAATCCGCTATTGCACAAGTGTCTATTCGTAAAAAGTTATTGGCTTTAAAATTACCATCTGGAACACCCCTCAATAAACATTTTATCGCGTTCGAAGAATTAATTCAACAATTAATTGCTACTGGAGAACAAATAACCGAGTCGGACAAAGTGGCAACTTTTGTTGATAACAATGTCAAATGAGTATTCTGGTGTTATTACAACTCTTGAAACAATGTCACCAGAAAATTTGACACTTGCTTTTGCCAAAAGTAGATTTTTGGACCACGAAGTTAAATTGACAGAAGAAAATAAAGATACCAGTGGTAAAGTGCTTCAAGTAGAAGTGAGACATGACCAACAAGTAGAAGTGAATAAACAATTCCAAAATAACTTTAAAAGAGTGGTCGAAAGAAATATAATCCTTTCAATAAAAATATGCATAAAACAAATAAAGACAGGAAATTTAAGCCAGGAAATAAATCATCAGCGAAGTGTTATTTTTGTGGAAGACCAGGACATATACAAAACGTGGGTTTTTATTACAAAAGGTACAAGGAGAGAACCGCGAATGAAAATACAAAAACATTACAATCAGTACACGCTTCTTCGGAAAAATTTTCAGGTTTCCTATTTATGTCTGGAAACTGGGAATTAAACGATAAAGAAGATAATAAGATAAGTTTCTTGCTAGATTCTGGCGCTTCCGATCATATAGTAAATAAAGCCGAATTAACAAATAATTTTGCTACATTGAAAGATCTGTGGGGATCTTTACCCAACACACATTTCTATATTTTCAAACTCTAAATTTCTTCATCTATATTGCATGCCATAATTCTTTATCTAAGATTCCCAAAATTCCTAATGTCTTTTATTACCTTATCATAAACTACCCTTGAAAAACATAATTCCCGTGTCGGACGGTTTGACACGCGGTATCTAGCGTGAGGAGAGTCCGACTCGGATTCCCAAAATCCGATGGTCAACTTTCCCTCTCTTCAATGTCACACACTTTCTTCTACCAATCAAATCTATCGCTTTCTTCCTACTTCCAAATTTCTTGTCACCACCCATCAACCTGAAGGGTTGCTGGTGAGTGACAAGGGTTTAGGAAGGTCAGTTATTCCACACACTTCTTAAGTAACACTACTACATCTTACTCTACAGTTCTTCCCTACATTTCTTCAAGAGTTGGTAAACCTTAATATTATAATAAACATTGTTCGTGATAATTAAACATCGTGTCTTTTAACACTATCAATTATAACTCACACCGATCCCACAAATTGGTGACCCCGACGTGATCTCAAAGAACTTTTATTTATTTTAATTTGTTCTAGAGGTGGCGTACCTTGCTGATTTTTTGACCGAAATTAATAGCCTAAATATTTCACTGCAAGGAAATGAAACAAACATTTTGACCTTGCAGGATAAAATCGCAAGTTTTTTGCGCAAATTAGAACTTTACCGACGTAGAGTCCAAGCTGGTGATGTATCAATGTTTACACACCTAAGTGAGCAATTAGAAAATATAAAACAAGACAAAATCACGTTTGAGAATTCCGTGGTTCAACATTTAACTGCCGTGATAGACTCACGGCAGCAATATTTTCCAAACATGGACAGTCGTGAATCCTACTCCTGGATTTTAAGACCATTTTCTACTTGCGTGGATATTTTCAAGGACGAAGATGCGTCTGCGAAAGTAGAGTTTCTCGGACTGCGGGAGAATAATTCATTAAAAGTTGACTTCCAAAATGATAAACTCTGCACATTTTGGCGAAAAGCAGCTACTGAATATCCTATTATAGCTGACAGAGCTTTAAAAATGTTGATTCCATTTGCTATAACATACAGATGTGAAACGGGTTTCTCAACTCTTGTCACATTAAAAACAAAAGCCACACTGTAGGAAGATCACTTCTCTACAATACTTCTTACTCTACACTTCTTCAAGACTTCTTAACTATTCTTCAAGACTTGGTAAACGTTTACATTATAATAAACATACATCGTGATAAATAAACCAAGTGTCTTTGCATTAAATAAATACTGCCTAATATAATAATTAATCATCATCATAACTGCACTACATTCATCGATCCCACAAATCCATTAAAATGTCTGTAGCAAAAAAAGGAACTTTTATATACGCGACGAAGAAAGAAGTTATCACCGACAAAGGAGTCAAAGGACAAATCGAAGACGTATTATATTCACCAGATCTCCCTTATAATTTATTATCTGTTACAAAAATGCAGAAATCAGGTATGAAAATAATATTTGGTGAAGATGGAGTCGTAACTCCAGAAGATCCACATCTTCTAATAGTAAATAATGTAACATATTATTAAAGACGTGTAGAGGTAGAAGACGACTAATAGTAATTAGGAAGATCGAATGAAGTCTACTAATTAACTAGTTAAGATGGAAAAGGGGGCAAATCTATCGAGCATGGCTATAGACTCTACATAGAATAACAGATGAAAATTTGGACGCAGTTCTTCGAATTGCTACTAGCGAATTAGATCCTAAGTATGATGTAATAATAGACCAGGAACATTCTAAATTTAATCCATCACATTGAAGATTGAGGAAAGTTTATTGTAAACATTGCAATAATAAAAGTGTTAATTGCAAATTTTTATTTTTATTTATACTTTATTCCCATTGTGGTAAATATGTATTTATTATTATTCTTATTTTCTTATACAGTAGAATCTTGATAACTCGAACCTTGTTAAGTCGTAATCCTCAGTAACTCGAAAAGATATGCTATTCCCTTCCGCTGAACCCCGAACGACGCACTAACTCGAATTTTTTAGACTCAGTAACTCGAACAATAAGTTATTTCCCTGTGAGGCATTACTCGTACATTTTAATACTCAGTAACTCGAACTGCAAATACTACCTCAGTAAGTCGAAGTTCATAAAATTTTATGATTTCTTACTCGGGATTCCCGGAGCTCAAAACTCGTGGCAATAAAATCAAAAAAGGAATGTTCGGGGCTCGGGGCCTCTTATCTATTGTTTTTGTTTTGCACACGTGCAAGGAATGAATTCATTCAATAAACTTTCTAATTTCTAAGAAACACAGATGTTATGTTTCTTCATTTTTGGTCACTTTTGGTTACTTGGCTCAGTCAGTACATATTTGTTTGGCTATTAACAAGCAACAACATGAGTACAATACAGCAATTGATACACTACGAACTTATATTGAAAGATGTAATGATATCGAGTATCATATATTCGGTTCACTATATGAACTAGAAAAAATAATTGATAAAAATCTGTAAATGGCTTGAATCAAACGAAGATCACAGATTTTTATCAATTATTTAAAACATACAGTGTAAGTTCATTCATTATAATTATGTCCTTGACTCTCTTTTTATGTTACCTAATGTAATTTGTCGTAATAAATGTTCTATGAAATTGTGCCTTTTTATGTCGAAATTTGATAAGTTACCTCTTCATATCTCGAAATTCTTGTTAAGTCGAAAACTTGCTATCTCGAATTTTTTTTGGTTTCCCTTGACATTCGAGTTATCAAGATTCTACTGTATATATATATATATATATATATATAAAGTATTATATAAGCACGTTGTTGTTCTCTCTTTTGTTGTCAACACCACTTCTAGAGGTTTCGTGGGCATACTTGCAATTAACAATGGCGGCAGTACTCGCTTTTGACATGTTTACATGTCAAGGTAACGAGTTTTATCAAATAATAAAAGCGAATAAAAGAGTGGTGAACATATTGAATATAAAAAGTAAGATTTACGCATTATTTAACATTATTACTTAAGTGAAGTTAACTTAAGTTTAAGAGGTAAAGGTAATATGCATTCTTGAATTATTTCGTAAAGTTGGATTGTTAAGGGGATAAATTATTCTATTACACAAATAAATTGTCTACATGTGATTTATGCTCATTTCTTGACGATTTAAAGATGAATAGATCAAAATTAAAAATGCAGATAAAACTCAATTGCAACGAAAACTTTTACGACTTAAGTCTTGCGCTGAACGACACTAATATTAGCATTGCGAGGCACTCGCCAGCGTGTGATTGCGTTATGGAATAATTATCGATAATATTTATTAATACTTCTTTGCGGCTCGTTGTCGCACAAGCGTATTGCACAAGAGTCGAAGATGCGCAGTTCGAGGATGCGCAAAAAGTGAAAACGCGCAAAAACAAAAATAAATTACACATTTCACAATGATTTCAAATAAAAATCAACAAGACTTTAATTATTGTATTGTTTATTATAATTTTAAGATAAATTTAATTAGTGTTAGAAACAATTTGATAGCAAATGTAGATCAAATTCCGAAAGTGAACCAAATCGGGTGAAATTTCAATTCGGTAAACAGTTGGTCGAGAAACAGATGCGTGAAAAAGAACGCTAATGACACAAATGACACATGAATATGATATTAAGTATTAAACAAATTGATTTCTTTTATTTTATTCTATTTCATCCTCAAGAAGAGATACCAGCAACATTTCGGTACGTACTCATTTTCTTTTCACAGCCGAAAAGAAAGCATCATGATGATGATGACCAGGCAATATGATCATAATTCGTGAAAGTGATTTAGTCGAATTTTTTCTTCAGCTTTTTGTCTCTACAAGTGCGTTGTTGATGTATGAATTGTGAAATGAAGAAAAAAATTGCATTTTTTGACGATGCTTTGAGGTTGTTCAAATAATTGTTTAGGTCGGTGTGTCGTGCGATGTGCAGTTTGTACGCGGCTTGGAATGGTCGCATCGCGATGGGCATCAGCTTGGTGCCAGCAACAGGTAGGAGAGCGTGTTCGACAGGTGAAGTAGGTTACGCGTCGTGGGGATGTAGGACGACTATATACGTGCGGCAAGAGTACGCCGAGCGACAGTCGGCTCATCTGGCCAAAGAGTGCGAAAGAAGCGAAGATTCACGGCTTTGAATTTGGTGTTATTATTTACACATCGGCGGGAATCACAGTGATACGGAATTATTTTTATTAATTTCATAGGTGAGTAAAAACTTAAATTATTTACACATAAAATTAATTTACGGTATAATTAATATACTAAACAGTATATATTGTGAATTCTATGCTTATTAAATACTTTCTACATATTTATTTAATTTATGAATTAAAATTGATTTTTTATTTCAAAAATAAAAATTTTCTATTTTAAGATTTAAAATTAATGATAAAATACAAAAGATGGAAAAGTGACGCAATATTATAATAACACAACGTAGCAATTATAATGAAAGAATGAAAGAACGTAAAAAAATCTGAGATTAAAAAGAATCTAAAGAAAAATTGCATAATTTTATTTCTTCAGTCGCGAGATGTAATAAGATGTAATAACTGTAATTAAGATTAACGAATCTTTTTCGTATTTTACTTTTTCACATTAGATCAAGATGTACCAAATTTTTCTCGTGTTTAATTAACGGAGCTTAATATTGAAATAGCGGTGAATGCAACTTTGTTTATTCAACGAGTTAACAAGTTGAAAAGTTCACGCATTTGGTAATTTTGTTAAAATTTACTTAAGGGATGTTTATTAGTAAGTTTAAACACTTTTATGTTGATGTATTGATGATGTGATCTCGGTGGTCATCTTGTGGGTCGTCGCGCGACCCAGAAACGCGCGAAGTGATCCAGGACACGCGGCGAATCGACGCGAATAAGGCACCTTCGCGAAGATCACGCAAAGCGTGTGCACCAGACAGCCCCGAGGAGTCGATTGTGCACGTGTGCGCGAAACGTGCAATTCCGCCAGCAGATTTACATGCGATGCACGTTTGACACACAGAACTACTAAACTTAAGCGCAACATTTAACTTAAACCATGATTTCCGTGCAAATTAAATCAATGGTTATGCAAGTGCAAAAAAATTTTTTTGTTTGTTTTTGTTTAAAGATAATTTTAAACATACTGTATTATTGATGGTGTCATCAGACGTGCTGGCACTTGCTGGCACTACTGAACTCAAAACGCAACACAGGTGACACAAAAAACATAAAATAAAGACGCGCGACAATTGCAAATACATAAGCAGGTGCTAATCGATTCCGAGATTCAATCGAACCGGATCTATTAAGTATATTATACACACACACTGTTTTAGCTGATTTTCGTCGCATTGTTAAATGGTTTATGATGAAAGTTATTTGCGAAACTTCTCGCATTCCTGCACGCGAAAACGTGCGCCGCGAAAATGAATCCGCCAAACAATAAGTACCTACGTACACACAGTTTCAGTTCGATGCGAAGGAAAGTTCCTCAGTTTCGAAAACGTAAACTTTTCAAGTTTGAGGCCAAGAGTTCGCGTGACTCGACCAGAGGCACCCAACAGTCACGCCTAGCGCGCGCGCGTCTGCTGAATTCGAAATTGAAATTTACATACGATTTACGATCAGCGCTCAAGTTCATTGTCTCGCGGGTACGGCGTTGGTCATTAGCGAATTTTTCAATTCCAAACAAACACAATTTAGTCGCATTATTCATGCATTAGGATTAGCACCGAGCCGAGCGACCGAAAATGGAGAGCGGAATTATAATCAGATTAGAATTGAAATGAAGATATAATAAGGAAAGAGTTCTGGGTTCTAGGTCAAGAATGATTGGATGAACTTGATGCCATCTAGTTTAAATGATGATTTAGCTGGGCGTGTTTCGCGTTCGTTATAATTCGACGATGCGAAAGTTGAAAACACGAAAAAACCGAAGCGGAGAAATGATGATTCACGACGCTGATTAAAGTTATTAGTTTCATTGACTCTTTAATGATTTAGCGACCAATTAGATGATATATTTACTCATTAAATGCACTTTAATCGTTTATTACTTAAGGCGATTTTTATTTATAGCGGACTTTCTAAAAGCATGATCTATAAATTTGTTTCATCTTTGATTAATACTAGTAATGTTGAATTATATGCGTATTATACACGATAGTGAATAATACAAGTTAATACAACGTATTACATCATTGTGTAATGTTCGTGTGATGACTAAATTACTAGGTAGCTCTGAATATAATTACAAATGAATTGCGTAACTTTTTCTTTCCGTGATTTGAAATATTGCGAGTGCATCATGAGTGACATTTGACATTTATCACTTTACAACCGACTTTACGATGCGTAATTTATTATTCTCAAGAGTTTATCTAAAGTATTTAATGACAATGCGATGAGCGTTGGTTAAAATGCATTATAAAACGCTTTAATGAGACGTGAGCATATGGAAAGTGAGTTTTCCTGATTTCTTTACGGATTTCCTGTCAATACGCACTTAAAACACACTCAAATCTTGACTTAAGGCTTTAAATGCTTTAATACTGTCTTTTGTGGGTGAAAGTGACGTATAAGATACTTAAGTCGTCTTCTACTTCTTGTTACATGCATATGCATGTATCGTATACTCGAGTTTAAGTTGTAACATTAACTTTAAACTTTTGTAAGATGATGAGCGTGAAGAATGCGAGTGCAGTGCGTTCACCTTTCGAATCTTTCGATGCGGTTTCGAAATAAAATGAGATGAGCGTGATGCACGCAGGAATTTCGTTCGAAAATTGGGAATTACATTCCCACGACGAGAGCCAATGAAGCAACAACAACAGCTTCAATTGACTGCGCTTTAATTTTAATGAACTGATCAAATCGAAAGATAAACATCAGAGGAGAACCCACACGTTGATGAGAAGGATATAATTATAACTATAATGTTGATTTTCTTATTTTCAGGAATTTAAGTGTTAAACAAACAAAACACAACGATGTTGATGAAACAGGTGGCGCTCCTTGTACTTGGAGCGATTGTTGTCTCCGCCCAGAGGCGGCTAGCACTTCCGGATCCGAGAAGTTGTTCCAACCGTAAGTAAAAACTAAAAATACATTTTTGTTAGTTTAACATGATTTAGAAAAAAAAACTAGGTAATACTGGTAATCATGTTGCAAAACCCGCATTTCCCTGTCCTTTATTCGTCTCGTGTGTGTAATGTGTAATACGCGTCGGAGTTATTTCTCTTTTAGTGCTTCTGTGCGTTACATCACACCCGCTGCGATTGATAATTTTGTGCGCGTACGAATTCGATTTCACAACGCAGAACGGTAGCTTTCGATTTAAAAAGGCAGCCTTTTTGTGTGACACAAAATCTGTGTATACATGGTTAATTGCGTTTGATAAAGTCTTCAATTTACATTCGGTTTTTATGCGCATCAATCACGTCTTTTGCAATACTAATTTGCAACAATAAATAAAGAATTGCATTGCATCGTGAATTACGTGGGAAAAACGGTGATTATGCAATCGAACAATGGCGGATCAACCTTTAAAGTTTTTGTATTCAAATTGTACGTGTAACACGCTTGAATTGTGTCTAACCAGTGATGTTAGTCAACTTTTATTTCCAGTGAAAGGAGCTCGTCTTGAGTTTTCCTTTCTAAACCTTTCTACTTCTCATCTTTCGCATTTTCAGGTGTTCGCCACGCGACTTACAGAGATGCGCGCGGTGTAACTCACTCGTACTTCTTCAGCTGGGAGCATCAACCAACGCGAGGATTAGAGGTCGATTGGTTGGACGCACGTAACATTTGCCGCCGTCATTGCATGGACGCCGTTTCGCTGGAGACGCCACAAGAGAACGAATTCATTAAACAGCGTATTGCCCGCGGTGCTGTTCGTTACATTTGGACGTCCGGCAGGAAATGTAACTTCGCTGGTTGCGAGCGCTCTGATTTACAGCCGCCAAATGTTAACGGTTGGTTCTGGAGCGGTTCCGGCGCGAAGATCGGACCGACTACACAGCGCAACAGCGGTGACTGGAGTGCTACCGGCGGGTACGGCCAGGCTCAACCTGATAACCGCGAAGCTGCGCAGGTAATTATCAAAACTATTTGAGATATTTACAGATTTATGCGTGTGGTTTGGGCAGGATGTGGTTGAAACGGGAAATTTATCGCTTTTTAGTGTTATTGACCCAAACTTGCACTAGAAACAAGTTCGACTAATCAAGAATGAAGTTTGGTAACGGATTTTACACTAATTGTGGATATTGACATGAATGTTATGCAACTTAATATACACCGTGCGTCATTTTGTTCTGTTTGTATCTTCTAGGGTAACGATGAATCCTGCTTATCCATCCTGAACAACTTCTACAATGATGGAATTAAATGGCACGACGTCGCCTGCCATCATGTGAAGCCGTTCGTCTGCGAAGATAGCGAAGAGCTGCTCAACTTCGTAGCGTCGCGGAATCCCGGCATTCGTGTCTAATTAACGCACACACTTGAAGAAAATACACTATAAATGCAACACAAACGATAAAAGCAAACATTTGACAGTTGGAAACATTTCAACAGTGAGTTTAATTTACATTTTTCTATTTCTTAAGATTTAGTCAAAAGTTTTAACTCACAAATTACACACACGACCACACTCGAACAAACACAGCAAGTAAATGAGCAAAACATTAATTTAAATAATTTTATTTTAAAGTATAATTATTTGTGTAATTATTATTATTATTTATAATACATTTTATTTCAAAGCGAAGTATTTGTGCGATGACAATACCAGTCATGGTTGTGTATTTGTTCGACATTTGTATGTTTTTGTTTTTAGTTTTTACTTTACTTTGTGATAAGATATAAGGTAATTAGTTAAACTTCATAGAAGCAAAGACCTTTGACGACGCTCCCATTAGGCTCATCACCAAAACATATCACAGACTTGGACTTATTTCCCGCGTTGCTTAATTTATCGCCCATGTAAGTCAACAAAATGGATTCTCCATGCGTCTGCGCGATGTACTCAACGCAAATCATGTACGATACGTATGCTTTACATAATATAGGAACATCAAAGACGATATTCTGCACATCATCATAATTCACATACGAATATCTTCCTGGTTGTTTAAATATTAAATTTGAAAGAGTTTCGTTATCCTTCAGATAAACGCAGACACTAGCGCCACCCATGTAATCCAAATCGGAGACTTGTTCTGGTTTGGATTTGGTCGTGATTGATACTCCAAATATCAAACAATCGCATGTACAACAAATCTTAGAAGTTAAAGTCTCGTTGGTTCCACGTAGTGCTAATCTGTAGGCGTTTTTAAATTCAGGTCTAACCTTAAACTTAAAGTGATGCTTGTTTGGTTGCAGCGATTGCGGCTTTGCAATTTGCAATGAATGTGTAGTCAACTCATTGTACACCTCAACGACATCTTGTTGTTCGGCTGACAGGGCTTTATACAATCTTGGATCAACAAAGTGTTTCGATAAAAACAACTTATTCTCCTTGATTATGTTGGATACGGTGTTATTATTGGTGTCACTAGATGTCGCTTCATCCAATTCAGTCAAAGCCCAGTTGACTATCATGAGCGAAGCTTCAAGTGTGTCATTTTGAGCAATCGTTCGCAGGGTTGGCAATTGTGGATGGTAATCATTCCCGCATAGTAATAAACCCTTGCCGAAACACCAAATGTCATCTAAGCATTCCTGTGAGAGTTTGTCTTGGCCATAAAGCGTTGAATATTCGTAGCACATCAATAAATTTGATATTGTCAAATTTGTTTTGATAAATTGTAAACATTCGTTCTTCAAATCCGGTAGGAAGTATTTCTGGCTTACGTAGAATAAATTCCAGGCCTCCGCCATGTTTTCCAACTGAATTCCAGTGGTATAGATGTATTTTAAAAACTTTTCAAATATAGCCGGCTCGATATCTTCGATTAAAATCTCGGATTGCGCCATATCACTAAAGAGCATACTCTCAAACACAGGACTATTCAACATCAGTAAAAATTTATGCGCTTTGATTTTCACATTCGTTGATGGAAAAATAAACGTGCAATCCGAGTAGTCTTTTGTTTCGTACAGCTGCGCTTGTTTTTTCTTTGTGTAGTTCATCTAAAAATAATCCAGTAAACAAATGAATCGCCTGTGTTTATATTAACGCACTTTCTGATTCGCTTCGATGTGGCTGCAGTCTAATCTTGTTAAAGCAATGATTTTAAGCTTAACGCAAGCAATGTGCACAAACAATGACGCGCGTGTATTCAAACATAACAAAATGGTAATGAGTAAACCGTAATTGCGTTCGGACTTGAACTCACCTTGAAGACGGGACGCTGTGAAGGATGGGCGAGCAACAAGTCGCAATTGTTTCACCGGCAACAACCAACGATCAACTATTAACTTCAAACTTCGTCCGTTTTGTGTGAGTCGTTTTTTTTTATCGAATCAAACGGTAGTTCCACAACGAATTGTGTTTCGAGCAGTGTTGAAGTTTTTAAGTTTTTACCACGAATATCCTTGAACTCTGCGGTGGGATACGTACGCGCGCCGCGCGGCGTATTGCGGAGTACGCGGACTGTCGCAAATTTTTTGAACGAATTGCACTCGATAATGAACCGAACTGCAAGTTGCAACCGTTCACGACCGCGATCGTTGACGCATTGGCGATTGTGTAACAGTGGCGCGTCTTTGTTTATATGTTTTGCGACGCGGCGGACAAACGCACACCGATTTCGAAGTTCATTATATTATAATAGTTTGGGATGTGAGTTATTTTTATTGCTTGTGTTTATAGGCCAGAAATTATTTATAGCAATCGCCCCGTTATAACACGCTCTTGGCAAATCTACAACTGTATATTTCTTTCTCTCGATTTAAATTCAGTTTTTCTAGGTTAAAACGGTCAAATTCAAAAATACTTTTAAAGATGGCGTTTCCCTTTCGTGACGTATGCACAGATAAACTCCTCCCATTATGTTGGCGTGACATAACCTATATATTAGCAAAAAAACAATCAATTTATTCAATAACATAAATATCAAAAATCTACCACTCATACATTACATCATAATTTATTACAATATAGTCCACTTTAAGTGTAGCTAAAGAAGAATCGATAAAATCATCATGGCTGTTGCTTTCGCAGTGACTTTGGTCTTTGTACATTAAATTAGCGCGTGTGAGAGAAATTATTATTAAAACTAGTCGTATTTGTGTGTGATGAGAGGAAAGCGCACGATGCGCAGCTGATGCCCAAAGTCACAAAGAACAGCATCGCGCAGCACTACCAACTGCTTAACAAATACGTAGGGCGAGCGGCCCAGGACGATAGATTTCACATTTTCACCCCTGCGCACGTCCCATAAGGCGAGACCGCCGGAACGCGCGGTTATAACTAGATGCGGCGTCAACATTAACACCTGACAAGTAAAAGTCCCATTCACCTGCAGCGTATTTAACAGATGACCTTGAAATCTCTCCCATACACATATCCTCTCATCAACCCCCAGGGAAATCACATAGGAGGCTGAATAGGTCAACGAGATGATTGATCCGTCATGGGCTTGTATGCTATACATGCATGCACCTAAGAAAAATATTGTCAGTTGGGAATTGATAAAAAAAATTAGGTTATTGTGGATATACCTGTTAAAAGGTCCCAAACACATAGCATACCATCCTGTGATCCACTTCCCGACGTTGCGGGACTAATCCTATCGATAAAAAGACAACTAATCGGTCCATAGTGACCGTGTAGTGTGTAAAGATGGCTGCCGTCCTCTATTCGGAACACCTTCAGGGTGTGGTCTTGTGACCCACTCAATACACGCCCACCTTCGCAGTCCAGGCATGTGATTGGTTGCTGATGTGCCTTCGTACTCAACACTTTTACGCATCTTAAATCTTCTTTGGTACTCTGATCGGATTGTGCATGATGAAAATCTGAAATTGAACCGGCGCTTCCAGTGCGAACATGAGTTCGGCGATACGCACAAGTAAAATTCCAATCAATTGGCCTTCCTTGATTGAATGTTTGCAGCTGGAAAAAATCTATTGTGCCGTAAATTCGGGCGGCAACAACACGCGAGCCGACGATTTTTACATTCGTCACTCCTGATCCAGTGGTGTCTTCACACATACACTATAGTAAGCAAAGATGTTGAGGTTAGAAATAAAAATAGGTTATAATATTTACATTTCCACTTACTTTAAATTTGGACGTGGTTCCCTCCCAAAACTCCAGCCTGCCATCTGCACAACCAATCACAACTAAATTATCAACAAAATCCATGCACCAAATCGAAGGCACTTTGTCACACGGCACATTTACTTCAAAACTATTACTATTATTGCTACCGTAACTATTATTACTGTCTTTGCGCGATTGCTGGCTCGCGTTAAAAATGTCAATGGCTTTGCTCTGTGCATGCCAATCATTCCAATCACAGCTCTGCACACCTGTACTTCTATTTCGTAAGTTGGCGGTTGAAATTTGCTTGTACTCATCACCGAAATCGAAATCCTTCGATTTGTCCACGTCTTGCATCCGCAGGTTGACAAATTTTGTGTTGATCTTCTTCTTGAGGAACGCCACAACGTCCTCGTCTCTTGATGGAGGTGAACCTGACTCGTAATCAGACAGGATCTCCTCATCATCTTGATGGGAAGGTACTGTTGAGGTGGTATAGCGGTCGATGCTGGCAACAAGATCACCGGTGATAGAATCCCAGATTTTAAGGTTGCCCCAAGACAGGTGCTTGCTATTGAGCGACCATCAGAAGCTAAACATTCGATTTCTTGTTTATGCCCTTCCATAACAACCGGAACAGCCTAAATAGTAATAATAAATTATATAACTTACGTTTCCATGAACCGCACTAAGTATACTTACCTCTAAGAGAACAGGTACTTCACTCTCATTGTCTGATTTATCGCTGGTCCAGGACGCCCGCCACTCAGCGTAGTTCCTTGAGCAGATACACCTATACAACACAAAGACGGTATATGCAAGGACTATCACGCTAATAAGGCACAAAATCGCAGTTAGGAAAATCTCCATTGGTGAAGTGGGGTAGAATGGGCGGTCATTCTGCGGATAATGGGCTGGTATAGGCATACCCCCAACACTTTCTAAACATAAAAATAAAGATCATTACTATGATCAGATTGATAAGATGAAATTTAAACTTACCACTAAAATCTATTGGATCCAATGCGAGCGCTAAGGCCTGCCATTCAAACTTTCCATACTTCTCTTCTGGATTTCGCAGTAGGACGGCCTGCTCTGGACCAATCACATGCGAGATTTGAATGCTAGGCAAAATGGCGACGTATCCTCCACTAGTGCTGATATTATACTTGCGTAGAATACTCGTCCAGTGTTGCGTGCTCAAACTCAACCAAGGTTTATATTCCGTGTGTTTTAACCGATTGATATCATCGGTGTTATTGTGGTAGTTTAACATACTTTTTTCGGTAACAAAATTCACCATATATTTTTCGTTACTGTTTAGAATCGGTAATAAGTTGTAAGTTGTTTGTTTCTCATCTGTGTTTGTACGATTCGCCGATTTCATCGCGTCGTTTAGTTCAGTGAAATACTGCTCAACGATGCCGCTATTGTAGAGTATCATTCCTATCCACACAACCATGAGGATCATAAATGCTCGCTGGAAGAATCTCGTGCGAGCCCAGATATTCACTAATCTCAATCGTTTCGGAATTTTTGACTTTGTTTGACCGCCAGCGACGATATTCGCTGGAATGGTGTTTAGCCTCGGATGGGACTTACTTCTATTCAAACCCACTCCCATTCCTGTACTCGTAGTCTTCTCAAAAGTTTGTGTTTGATACAGGGTGTTACGGAAATTATTCCGGATGGTTTTCTCGTTGTTTTCCAATTTTCGTGTGTCAATACCAAGAATAGTTGAGAAAAACGCCATTTGTAGGAAAAAATCGTTGATTAAACCCACGATAGAGAATATACAGATTTCTTGTATTGCCGGGACAAATGTAAACAATCCAATCGTTAAAATCGTTATTTCAATCATTAAATTCTTAGTTATAGACCAGCCTTCTTTGCTCAAACCCTGTGCCACTCTGATTTTAATGTCCAAATGAGTTGGTGTTGATACCACGCTTTTAGTTAACACCAAAACGTTTTCCAGACCCACAAGGATGACCAAATATGGAAAGACCTGTCGATTGTGAACACTTAAAGTCAACCCGAAAAAGAAGCACACCCCTAGGGTCATAAACAAACTGCTTAACACTGTGATTAATACGGTCACAGCCATGCCCACCCGCGAACTGATCAACTCAATCTTCCTCACAGAAAAGTAGTAATAAAAGAAGAGCAAGAGATACGTGATCATGATGGGGATATACTCGTAGTAGCTAATTTCACCTGGATAATGAATCAGAACAGTTTCATCCTTTGGATTCATCGAGGTATTCTCACTCTTGTGCAGCGGATACAAATGATTTAACTTGTTCCGCAGGCCGGTGATGAATTGTTCGTCGTGTTCGTTGAAAAACAATGTTATTGCATATTGCAGCACTCTCTGACGATTCCTTAATGGGTATCGTTTAACACCGGTATCTACCAGATGCATACCAAACAACATTTCAGCTATAGATGTTTTTCCTTTCTGCAAATTCTGATAGTTGAAGATTGTAGTTAAAATCGACGAATCTTGCGAGAATTGTTGAACATCTTGTTTCCAAAAGTTGGCTGGCGATAGCACTAAACATGAGTATTCGGGCAACACGTCTATCTTATATTGTTTAGATCTTTTGATGGACTCCACATGCAGACAGACATGTCCCAAAGTTTTCATCGATAACGGATCTTGATAATTGCGCACAATGTCTAACAGTTTGAAGGATTCATAGAGTGGTGCACGAAAGGCATCGCCAACAACCATGGTGGGATTCCAGGGAATCACGGCTGTTTTGAGGATCACCTGCTGCACGTAGAACTTCGGTATTGTGTCTGAGGTAGGTATTGATCCATTGCTCCAAATAATCGTGGGGTTACCCGAGAGAGGCAAATTTAACAATGGGTAACTAAAAACATGCAATTTATTATACAAATAAAAACATAACCAAAGTTTATTACTTACCAGCATATTAACGCTACAATTGTAGCGACAGCAATCACAGTCTTAGGATAGGATGCGCAAAGTAATCCGTGCGCGTAGTAAGTTTGCGCGACGCGCTCCGGAAGCGTGGTGCTCTTCGGGGAGCGTCCACCGCCCATGACGTCCCCTCGCACCATCGGGTATCCTCACGTTTAGCCACCGGCAAAGTGAAGACGCATGTTCATCGAAACAAGTGTTCGCATAGCCCCTCACACTGCGCTCGTTCGCATCTGCAAACAGGTTGGATATGTAATTACAAGCATGTAAATAATAAATGAATAGAGACAAACTACGAGTCAAATTTCCGTTCACAATCGCGAGCGCAGCGTCGTGTTGGACGTCTAACAAGTGAATGCTGGAACATTAACGCTGCGCTTGCGTAAGCGATGATTTTGTTTGTTTTATCTGATGCGTATCATCGCGGCTATAAATAATTTAATTAGTTTTGCAAATATCGCGGGCGCTGATTAGAAACGTGTGTGATTATGTAAAATTTGGGCGGTGGGTTGATATTTATTACTTATTGATTAAATACATCACTGGTTACTGTTATTTTGTGATATTTTAAAATTTATTCATTTTTTTGTGATATTAAGCAAAACTAATCAGAAAATCAAGCTGCACTCATAAATTATTAATTGATAGTATAACACTTTTGAACATGCATTCAAGCAAAAGTAAAATAATGTACATTCATTTAGAATTTACAATAAATAAATGTAATTTATTATTCAAAGGTCATGCCATTCACAATAATTTGCATTAAACTTTCAGAATAATGTACACTCACACTCTGTATACTGTAAAATTATATTGTTCAAATATTCAAGATGCAGCTGATTAGAACACAAAAGATGAATGAATCACATATCACATTTATTCAAAGAAGCAAATGATATAATCAAACCATAACAACCCACATGTAAAAAACTCTCATGCATTCATTTGACATTCATTACTCAATCCAATATAAATCATACAACTTGATAATTTGTTCTATGCAGGTTTAATATTAAACAAAAGAAACCTGATGTTGTTGACTTTTCACAAATCCAGAAATACACGCAAATGTTTGTAGCAAGACGTACCTACATAGCTTTGTACTGCTGCACCAGCGGAAACTAACCTTAAAATCCACGCTAATCAATTGGAAATTCCCACGTTCTCCGTTGATTAATAATTCCACCGACGTTGAAGTTGAATCTGAATGCTCAAGTACAACAGGGGCAATGTTACCAGCTAAAAAATGCAGTTTTTATTAATCGAATTGGGTTGATTTATGCGCGTATTGCAGCGACGTAACAGAGCAGTGAAGTGCAACAGGAAACTTACAGCGGTTTACAGCGTTGAATATTCCGTACGCGTTCAGTATAGTGTAAATTATGTCTGCAGATACAGAATAGTTCGAATTGCGCTATGATTGTTGATATTCGTTGATTTAATTGAAGTAGGTTCTGTTAGGTAGCGAGAGCGCGAACATGGAATATGAAGCACTTGCTTTTGCGTCGAGGAACGACGGCATCGACACTCGACACTGACCTCACTCTGGGTGTTTCGAGTGTTCCCTGCGATCGTGACTGGATTGCATATGCTCACAGTAGCTAGTAATTTACGCCATGCGATGACGGTTATTAGAAAATCTATGTAATCTAAAAATTACGGTTTTAAACAATTTTAATTTACTAGCTTCTAATCTTCGCAGTAATAAATACTTCAAATTGATTTAGAAAAGGGAAATATTATAGCGTGTGCTATATTACATGGTACAGCACTTGTGTTTTGTAATAAATATTATTTGATAGAACAAATAATGTTTTTACGTGCAGTACTGTTTATTTATGAAACTAGAGCGTATTAGGGACATCTACACCATTTATATCAATTACCTATAACCAATAAGGTTGACAAATTCGATTCTCGTCGAGTTGTCTGCAAGCAAATGGCTCGATGAACAAATTAATCGGAAAGTGAATTTTGTGAATTCATTGATCATAAAACTATTTATATTTTAGAAAAATAAGCAGATTGTAAATATTTGCATCTTATGGTTATTTTTGTTAAACAAATTTACGTGTAAATTGTCGGATACCAATGAAGTTATGTTTTGTTATATCATGCTTTGGTTCGTACTCGTAAATAAATACTTCTATAATATAGATTTTATATACATTAAACAACATCGTTAGTTAAAACATTTATAACTCAAGAACGAGTAGACAGATTTGGATGATCTATAATCTGTTGGATTCGTCTCCGCTTGGAATAGCAGAGTCAATATTAAAATATCAAAAATTATAACATTAAGAGTGTTAAATAGTAAATAAAATTATGTATAGAGTCAATAATAGTTATAGCTAAATAATTGCTTCCCAGATGGCGCAACAGTGCATGTCGCCAAGGTAAATGAACAACTCTTATTGCAAGCTATAGATAATATCGGAGTTTTCATATTGATAACAATAAAGATAACATATATTTTCATAAACAACCCGAAACATACAAAATTACATTTAATCTGTAAAAAGCAACGGAATTAATTTAACAATTAATATTTGTCTTTATTATTTGGTTGTTTAATACTTTTACAAAAATATAAAAATTCAAAACAACACGGAATAAAATTTCAGTTTTATTCGCGCTATTGATGATAAATACATTCATTCATTTATTTCATTCATTTGAATTAAATCTTCAGTATGTTTTTGTACTCAAAATTAATGATGTTATTCAGTTTCATTTATATTCATTCCAAGTTTACAATGGCGCAGCCTGGTGAATGTCAGTATTAAAGTCCTAATTTATATCATTGCTATTTTTATACTAACAATTTTTCTTGTAGTATCACGTTATTGCCCCTATGACCAGAAGAGATATATACTGCAAGTTAGAGCCAAGGTACGAGTAGTAAATAAAATTTATACTTTACGTCAAATATATTTCACATCTTGCTAACAAAAACCAATTTTAGGTAAACTTCTTCACCGCTTTACAAACATGTCGAGACAGAGGACAACGTCTCGCCAATGTTCTCACACCAGGGGAAAATGATTGTCTTGGTGGATTAATCAGTGATACAAGTACATATTTTCTGTTTTATTTTCATTTAAGTATAAAGAAACAACGACTCATAATTATATTATTTTTAGCATTTAACGAGAATCGTTTTTGGATATCCGGCTCCGACCTGAACAATCCTGGCGTGTATGTTTGGGAGTCGACAGGACAACCTGTACGCTACACAAATTGGTATCCAGGCCAACCAACACACACTGTTTCTCCAACTGGGGAAGTACAACATTGTATCGAAGTTCTTTTCAACCCGCATGGTTATCTTCAATGGGCAGATGCGCTATGTTCAGCGCAACATTTCTTCGTCTGCGAAGATTAACAATGCAAACATTAAATATTGTTACTTTTATACACGATAATATAGGCAACCAAACAAACTTCTTTATTATAGTTAAAACATAAATTTTACGACTCAGTGTAGACAACCAGCTATACTTTAACATAAATTATCGATTCTTAAATGGTTTAATGACGAAATTCAAGATCGCACAGGCATCCATCGCCGAGTTGTAACGTCTTCGAGTACCATGCGCCATTGCTTTTACTGCGCATCCAAACGTGGTGCAATTTCCATTGATTGTGACAAGTTTTGCTGCGAACGTAACAAAGGCGAGCAGCGCTATTTGTTGGAAAGTAAGCGCAAGGATCTTCTACACGTTTAATATCGCCTTTTTTGACGAGTTCACACGTTACATTTTTAAGCGGGTTGTTGTAATGCGAATCGTGGATTTCATAGTCATTCTCGTCGAGATCAAACTCTTCGTATAAATTGACCGATATGGAACTTGTGGTGCATTGGCTCATTTCGTGCTGGAAAATAAAACATTCTTATAAAATATAGAAAAATGTTTTAATGTTAATTTTGACGTACGTTAAACTTTGCATTTCGATTTCCACGATCTTTTTCAATTTGAGAAAGAATTCTGGGTCTAGAACGTTTTTCAAAGTCAATTTCCACCGGAGTGTCGTCAAAAGATGGCGAATAATCATTATTAAATGCAGATTGTTCTTCTAACTCAGATGAAATCTCATCCTGTTGTAGTTGGTTGTATGTTTTAGCAATTTCTCGATCAATCTCGGCCGCATCCGCCAAATCGTAACCGTTTCGGTCGTAGTTTCCAAAATTCGATTGGAAAGCATCGCCGACCACCAGTAGACTCGCTAACAAACACTGAAAACAACACAAGCGCTAATTATTTATTTTTATTAAATAATTTCACTCGTTATCCAATCGATGGTGCGCGTTATTTGTTTGTGAGGTGATCATCACGTGTGAGCGCTGCGCGTGATTATTAGTTAACTGGCATTTCGAAAGAACGCGGCGCGTTGGAATCGTCACTTCAGCTACACGTTTGCGTCTACCTACGTGCATGCGATCATTTAAAGTGGCAAAACGACCGACTCGGGCACGTACTAATTGATTTTAACTGGTAAATTGTCGACGACGTCGGCGACTGGTAACGAAACAACTACCAAAGACAAGTTCGCAAGTCGCTATCACAAACGCAACACGTGAAAAAATCTAAAAAAGCACGCGTGCGATCTTCCAAGCGGAAGCAGTCAACGACATTCGAATCAAAACAACGCGAAACAATGTGAATTATGAACAAAAAACGAAGGTATAAATTGAACTAAGTCATATTTAAGTGAATCACTTGTTACACTTAAGTATCAACCATGTGGACGTCAAAAACGAAGAATAAATTCAAAACGTAAGTTTTCCAAACTTTTAAATATAGGCAACCCAATATACTTATAAACATATTAATAAAAAAATTTATTTATATTACGTTTGATATAATCTGAGATTCTATTTTATACCAAATGTGTGTCTATAAATAAACGCGTTCGCAATTACCCATTGTCGACTACAACTCGCCGCCATGACACTTTGATGGTTATTTAAATTTAAAAACGATTAAACTCAGAGCGCGCGCGGCACATTCAACGACAATCAATTTGTGCTTAATAACATAATGGCAGTTATTTATACTTCGCTCTTCCTAAAAGATTTTATTAAATAAAAGTTATATAAAGGTAGGCAATAATAAATCTAAATTGGTTGCCAAGCGCAAAAGAAGTGCATGGATTTATTATATTTTATGGTTTTAACGCGATTTACGATTGAAGCTAACGCGTAATTATCAATTGTTGAATGGAAAAAGATAGTAAACTATTAATATATCGCCGCATTCGACCGCAAATGTGACAAACAACAAGTTCACGCCGGCTTCCACGCGTCTTATCGCATATCGCGTTTGACATCAATCGAAGCAATATATCCCGGTCAGAAAATGTAAATAAACAATCCAGTACGTGCGCAACTGCATTACGAATCTTTAGTTAAACTTTGCTTGCAAGCAACGCGTGTGTTAAAGAAAATCATCAGTAATACTAATCGGGAAAAAGCGCTCGTTTAAGCCGCGCCGATAATTTCTAATTCGATTGAACTCAATTGACCCAACCTTGCGTTAAACATTTGCTGCTACGGCGGTTATAAAGTGTTATAAAACCAAATTACAGTGTGCAACAGCTGAAAAACGGTAGATGATACGATTGTTTTAAATGTGGTGTATATTGGGTTGCCTGTGCTGAATTATAAACTTGAGTATTTTTCAGAATGGAGCCACGAAAAAGAAAAACAGGCGTTTATCGAATGGAATCCACCGAGCAGATTGTCTTTGAGAACAATCGGTTTCTAAGCACGCTTGTGATAGGCAAAAGGTAAAATGTAATAGAGTTAGATTCAGATCTCACCAATGCGAAGTTCATCTTGGTAACTTTTCTCTTTGCAATGAGAAACCAACAGAACTAAATGAAACTGACTCGATTTCGACAAATTGCATCAATTTATACCTAGATCAATGAGACGAACATGAGATAATTAGATATAAAGCAAATAAAACGTCGGCAGATTTCATAATTGTCGCATTTTTGGTGTTACGTCGATAAACAATAAGCGCCTATCTGTGAGCTTGTTCAAATAGTGCGTATTTATTCAGAGTTACGCATAAATCATTTAATTAATGCACTGCATATGCTACATTCGCGTAATCGGGTTTAATCAAACGTCACGATTTATTGGATAAAATACAAAAATTGTGCACGTACACGTAATTAAGCGTAACATTCATTAAAACATATCAATTCAAAATATATCATGATGTAAATATGTCTGGTAATGATATCATGTTCTGTCAGAAGTCAGAAAAAACGTTTACTCCAATTTTTTACCTAAACTTTTAAGTTCAATTTTATGAGATGAGTATTTATTTTAGAAAAATTTCCGATGATATGTTTCCGCCGGGCAGTGCGGGCATTTTCCGGCAGAAGTCAATCGGTTCGTGTGATCATGACCACCGCAACGGTAGCCATCTATCGTTCAGCGGATGTGCTCGTGCCGCTCGGCAGTCGATCGGCAACATCGGCAGTATACTGACGCGGAAGATGGCCGCTTCGACGTCGCAGACGACTCAGCCCTGGGGCAACACCAAGGATGAATACGAGCTGGGAAAAGTTATCGGTGGGTACCTGCTAAAATATTACTTCCAGCATGATAACGCTTCTGTTGGTATACGATAATTATTCTATCAACGGCACCATCCTCATAGTAATCCATATCTTGCTTTTATAGGTTATGCTCCACTTACTTTCACAACTTTTTTTACGTATTTCCTTCTAATTTTAGATAATTCGACACAATTTCGATTTTCAAAATAAAATTATTAATTCAAATGTTTTTATCTTTAATTTGTAGCTATTGTTTTGTTTAGTTTCTTAATTAAAATGTTGACCTCAAATTTGATTGAGATCAATTGATTCATTGATTGCTTACTGAAGATTGTACAATTTTTAGGTGTTGGAGCAACGGCCGTTGTACATGAGGCGCTGTGCAAACCGCGCAATGAGAAGTGCGCCATCAAGCGCATTAACCTGGAGAAATGGAACACCTCTATGGATGAACTGCTCAAAGAGATTCAGGCCATGTCCAGCTGCAATCATGAGAATGTTGTCACATACTACACTAGTTTTGTTGTGAAGGAAGAACTGTGGCTGGTGTTGCGCCTACTTGAAGGTGGCAGTCTTTTAGATATCATCAAGCATAAAATTAGAGTGCAAAATTGCAAGCATGGCGTGTTCGACGAGCCGACGATTGCGACAGTTCTCAGAGAAGTCCTTAAAGGGCTGGAGTATTTTCATAATAATGGACAAATACATCGGGATATTAAAGCAGGCAATATTTTGCTGGGTGAAGACGGCACCGTACAAATCGCCGATTTTGGTGTTTCCGCATGGCTAGCGACAGGTAGAGATCTTTCTAGACAGAAAGTGCGGCATACCTTTGTCGGAACTCCATGCTGGATGGCACCGGAGGTGATGGAGCAAGATCACGGATATGATTTTAAGGCGGATATTTGGTCTTTTGGTATTACAGCGATAGAAATGGCGTCAGGGACGGCACCGTATCATAAATATCCCCCTATGAAAGTACTCATGCTCACTTTACAGAACGATCCGCCAAATTTAGATACTGGTGCTGAAGAAAAGGATCAATATAAGGTAAAATACATTTTTATCCAGCTGAGTTTAGTTTTTTTAGTGTCTTATAAACTATTTTCGTAGGCCTATGGTAAAACCTTCCGTAAAATGATCGTTGATTGCCTACAAAAAGAACCCAGCAAACGCCCGACGGCAGCTGAGCTCTTAAAACATCCATTCTTCAAAAAATCAAAAGACAAAAAATTCCTTCAAACAACCTTAGTGCCAACCGGTCCTAGTCTGGAAACGCGTGTACAGAAAGCGAGCAAACGCCAACCTGGAGCTAGTGGTCGTCTTCACCGAAAGGAGACCGGTGAATGGGTATGGTCGTCTGAAGACGAAGATGGCGGGTCAGCTGGTAGCGGAAGCGATAGTGACGTACCCGATTCACGTCCGATGAACACAATCGCCATGTCGGCTGGTAGCGATTCCGAGCACGAGGATAGCTCTGAAGGGGATGCGCCACCGGTTAATTTAGTGTTACGGATGAGGTATGTGCCTAAGAATTATCGAAATAAAGGCATCAGTTGTATTTTTAAATCTTTTTAACTCAGAAATGCTAAGCGAGAATTGAATGATATTCGATTTGAATTCGCCGTGGGCAAGGACTCCGCCGAGGGCATATCAACCGAGTTGGTGAGCGCTGGTCTGGTGGACAACAAGGACATTAATGTCATCACGAGCAACCTTCAGAAGCTCATCGAGGCGCGCGAGTCGACGAAAGTCGTCACGTTTCCGTTGGTATGTAATTTCCTGATTACGCCATCAGCACTTATATTTTAATAGTTTTCTAACAATGCAATCGATTACAATTCAATATCAATTAAAAAACTATTAAATTAAACAAGGATTGAAAAACAAGCGTAATTGTATGATTACAAATTTGGATCAAATTTCAATGAGTACTTACAGAGATAAACGCAGTAGATTAACCGATTTTTTTTAATGCAGAACTCTGCGGCGGTTGGAGAATTGGCCGACGACAAGGCGTTAATCGGCTTCGCACAGATCTCGATAACGGACTAATGACGGCCGCTGCCTGGCGGCACTCCTTTTATATCAGAAGAAACACCTCCACATCCACCAGAGATCAGCTGACGCGAAAATTACACCCCTGGAGGGTGGACCACAGCCTATTGTTTCGCCGATCCGATCTTCCTCTCTAGTTTTAAATATCGCAACCAGCCGAAAAAATGATTGATATATTATTCGAAACTAGAAGCACTCCGTACTTAATCTTAGTAACGATTATACACTCCTTAGTTGTTATTGAAACAAAACGCAAATGAATGAAAATTAATGATGCATGTACACAATAAACACACGTACACAAGAAAACACTCGCACCTACACATACCAAACATATGAAAATGCATTATACAAGAAGACGAAGAAAACAATAACTATTAATTCTATTATACAAGATGTTATTATTTATAATATATTATATAGATATATATGTATAGATTAAAAGTTAAATGTTTGATTAGTCATTAGATGTTAGCGGCGCTAGTTACGACACGCATACAGGGTGTTTGCATTGTGCGCGTGGTGATTGTGACCAAATTGCCTTAACGCACGAACACTTAACTTAACGCGGGCAGGATATCATTATCAGTGCGTGCGGTGCGCGAAATGAGAATTGTAAGATGCCTAACAAACCCAAACTAAAAAATGTAGTTTTTATAGTATGTGCCAACTTGTGAAATGCGCGAATGGCTTCTCCCGTGACTTGAAAGTATGATTGAATGAAATAAATAATTATATTTATGACAAATGTATTTTGTTTTATTTTTTAACCGAAATAATGGGATACATTTTACTGTCAAATTGTTTGTGATTATTTGTAGAATGCTGTACTCCAGCATTGTATGGGAATTATGTCCGAATGCAAATAACATTTTTAAAGTTTGTCACCGCCATATTAAAGCTCGAGAGTTCCTCTACACGATGCACACCTTGTCAATCTTCTAATCCCTCTGGAAGTGCTTTAAAATGCTCTATAAAAATTGGCATTTTTCAAAAAAATGAAAACATGGTGTGGAAAACACCTTGTATCTCGTGAACTAATTGACTTTTTTAACGTATGTCACCGCTATTTTAAAGTTCGAAAGTCTCCCTACCCGATGCATACCCTTTAGATCTTCGAGCCCTTTTGAAAGTGCCCTAAAGTTCCTTTCAAAAATTGGCTTTTAAAAAGAAAATTGGAAACATGGGCTGCAAAACACTCTGTATCTCCTGAAATAATTGACTTATTTAAAATTTGTCACCGCCATATTAAAGTTCGATAGTCTCCCCTACATGATGCATACCCTTTCGATCATCCAGCCCTTCTGGAAGTGCCCTAAAATAGCTTTTGAAAATTGTCATTTATCAAAAAAATTGAAAACATGTTGTGAAAAACACCCTGTATCTTAAGAACTATTTGACTATTTAGAAGTTTTTTACCGCCATCTTAAAGTTCGAGAGTATTTTACGCAATCCATATCTTTTCAACCCCCTAACCCTTCCAGAAATGCCCTAAAAAGCACTTCAAAAATAGCTATTTTTGTCCCAAAAATGTCATTATTTGGTCGAATAACAGGGTCGAACTTTTGTGTTAAAATTTTTTTCGGTCAAAGAACAGGGTCGAATTTTTTCTTATTTCTTTTGGTCAAAGAACAAGATCGAATATTTTTGGTCGAATAACAGGGTTGAATTTTTTCTTAATTTTTTTTGATTGAACATCAGAGTCGAACTTCTTTTCTTTTTCTTAAAACTTTCCCATCGAAACATTAAATTAAAAAGTTGGAATTTTGAATTCCTGAACGATAAAACAGTAATTTTATTTAAATTTAATAATAGTTATTAATTAGGAAAAAATTGGCGGAGGCGCCTGACATTTGAGTTATTTAATTAAACATTGAAAACTACCTCATTGTGTAGAGGGGCTCTTAATGATACAATTTAAACAACTTATCATCTAATAGCAGTAAGGAAAATCTCATGAAGTGAAATGCGCACTCCCATCGAGACTTAAGAATCAATTATTTCAGGACCTAATAAAGATAAACAAAAACCAAAAACACCCCGATGTTCAGCATCAAATCCTAGATAAGATAACATTTAAAAAATTTGAAATATCACATGTGCCTAAAAAAATTTCCGCTGCGATTTTCTCGGTAAATAATAAAGATAGAAAAAAACTTTCTTCATTTTGCTCATGCCGTGATATGGATCTATAAAATGGCAGATTTAGTTTTTCCATTTTCCAAAGTTGGCGAAAACCCTCTCAATTCAGATCAAGAGGTTACACTTGACTCTTTTCGGACTAAAAAAAAATTTTAAGCTAAAAGAAAATGGAAAACGCTAATCGATTGAGTTTTCCAAGGGGATGAAAGATATGAAGTCAGTTTTCCGATAACATATTTATTTCGGAAAATGGGTGGTAAATTCTAAACTGATATAAATTAATTATTTATTGATAAATAAAAAATAAAACCACCTCTCCGATTTTCCCTAAACTTCCCCAGTTGAGGTAACGCATTGCCAGAATTCATTAATACAGGTTTGATTGCCCCATCTTAATTAGTTTTTAAGTTATAAACCATTCTTAATTATTACATAAGTGTTGATAAGTGAAAATTTTACCATCTAATTTAATATGAAATTTAATTCTACATACGCATATGAAAACCGTTTTTCTCTATCTCTAATGGTTTTCAAGATAAGTGCGAAAATCTGGTTTATGCGATTTGTCCATCATTTCCTAAACAAAAAAATAAAAATTGGAAATTTGACTTTTTCATAACCGAATATTGAAGAACATGTGATTCTACATACTTAATCTTAATAAAATTTTGCTCTAAAATAAAGGGTTTTAATAATAATCACTCTAACTATGCCTAGTTTTGTTGCTATTCAAATTACTTTAAAACTGTCAATAGGGCCTATATGATAAGTGGTAGTATAATAATACTCTTAAATATTTCAATCAAAATTTAAGAAACTGTTAAAATATTAAGGGTAAATTTTAAGAAAAAAGTTCAACCCTGTCATTCGACCAAAATCGCATAAACCAGTTTTTCGTATTTATCTTGAAAACCATTAGAGATAAAGAAAAACAGTTTTCATATTCGTAGAATTAAATGTAGAATTAAATTTCATATTATATTACATGGAAAAATTTTCACTTATCAACACTTATGTAATAATTAAGAATGGTTAATAACTTGAAAACTAATTAAGATAGGGCAACCAAACCTGAATCAATGGAATTCAGGCAATGCCTTACTTCAACTGAGGAAGTTTAAGGAAAATCCGAGAGGTGGTTTAATTTTTTTTTATATATCAGTTTAGAATTTACCACCCATTTTCCGAAATAATAATGTTATCGGAAAACTGACTTCGTATCTTTCATCCCCTTGGAAAACTCAATCGATTAGCGTTTTCCATTTCCTTCTAGCTTAAAAAAATTTTAGTCCAAAAAGAGTCAAGTGTAACCTCTTGATCTTTTTGAGAGGATTTTCGCCAACTTTGGAAAATGGAAAAACTAAATCTGCCATTTTATAGATCCATATCACGGCATGAACTAAATGAAGAAAGTTCTGTTCTACCATTATTATTTTCCGAGAAAATTGCAGAGGAAATTTTTTTAGGCACATGTTATATTTCAATTTTTTAAATGTTATCTTATCTAGGATTTGATGCTGAACATCGGGGTGTTTTTGGTTTTTGTTTATCTCTATTAGTTCCTGAGAAAATGGATTCTTAAGTCTCGATGGGAGCGCACATTTCACTTCATGAGATTTACTGGAAAATTCCTTACTGCTATTAGGTGGAAACTTGTTTAAATATCATTAGGAGCCCCTCTACACAACGAGGTAGTTTTCAATGTTAAATTTAACAACTCTTTCAAATGTCAGGCGCCTTCGCCATTTTTTCCTAATTAATAACTTTTATTAAATTTAAAAAAATTACTGTTTTATCTTTCAGAAATTCAAAATTCCAACTTTTTAATTTAATGTTTCGATGGGAAAATTTTAAGAAAAAAGTTCGACTCTGTTGTTCAAGCAAAAAAATTTAAGAAAAAAGTTCAACCCTGTTATTCGACCAAAAATATTCGATCTTGTTTTTGACAAAAAAAAACAAGAAAAAAATTCGACCCTGTTATTCGACCAAATAATGATTTTTGGGACAAAAATCTATTTTTGAAGTGCTTTTTAGGTCAATTTTTTGAAAAATTCCAATTTTCAAAAGGTATTTTAGGGCAATTCCGGAAGGGCTGGAAGATTGAAAAGGTATGCCTCGTGTAGAGGAACTCTCGAGCTTTAATATGGCGGTGACAAACTTTCAAAATGTCAATTCGTTCACGAGATACAGGGTGTTTTCTACACCATATTTACATACTCTATGAAAAATGCTACTTTTCGAGGTTTCATAATTGGGGATTGTTCTTTGCTGTGTTGCTATGTTTGTTATTGTATGTATAATATGAATGGTATTTATTATTAACTTCATTGCGCTACTTTATTGAATGGAAGCGCAAATATTTTTAAAAGTGATAACATTATTACAACTTGGTATAAATACTATGGATATTATAGCCCATCATCAAATCATCTTCACGTTTGCAACTTGTAAAATATCAAACAAAATCAAGAAGAATAAAATGAAGCTATTATTTGTATCATTCGTGTTATTAGGTATTGGGTCTCATTGGGTCAACGCAAAGACCTTCACCTTGAATACAGCCACCAGGGTAACTACTAAAATAATTATATTAACTTTTTATAAAATTACTAGTTTACCGGGCAAACGTTGTTTTGCCATATAAATTATTTCTAGTTTCTAGATAAATTTTAGTGTAGACAAAATGTAACTTACTTACTTAAAACATAGGGGTTGGTGATAAAAAACTAAAAATTTAGGGGTGTAAGTATTTTTTAATGCCACACTAAAAAAAAAATAAAAACAAAAAATTTCGACCAAAATTAAAAAAAAAAATTAAGGGTGAACAACCCTTATCACTTAGAGATATGAGGAATAGATAGTAGCCGATTCTCAAACCTACTGAATACGCATATAAAATTTTTCTTCGAGCTGGATGAAAAATGATTAAATTACTAAAATGGCTATAAAGATATAGGGGTTGGTGATAAAAAAATAAAAATTTAGGGATGTATGTATTTTTTAATGCCACATTATAAAAAAATAAATACAAAAGAATTTGTCCAAAAATTTAAAAAAAGTTAAGGGTGAACAACCCTTATCACTTAGGGGTATGAAAAATTGATGTTAGCCGATTCTCAGACCTACTGAATACGCATATAAAATTTGGTAAAAATCGGTAAAACCGTTTCGGAGGAGTATGGAAACAAACACTGTGACACGCAAATTTTATATATATAGATATAAATAAATCTAGGTGAATTGGTTCGCTGCGTATCAATCATGTGCCTCTCAAGGGAAGCAATTGGCGACTATTAACAATCAAGCAGAAAATGATCAACTTAAGAACCAAATAACTGCTGCGGGTAATTAGAATTAAAATTAATTTGTACATATTTAATAATAAATCACATTTCTGTTAGGATTGACGGCTGAATATTTTTGGCTGTCCGCCACGGATCTAGCCTCAGAAGGTACCTTTGTATGGTTCTCCACTGGCTGCAACGTTACTTACTCAGACTTCGACCCTGCTCCTAACAATGCAGGTGGAAAGGAAAACTGCGTTCATGTATGGATAGGCTATAGTAATAAACTTGCTTGGAATGACTTGGACTGCACATTGGCACATTACTATGCATGTGAAGACAAAACTTGCACCAAATGTAACGCCGGTAACACGGATAACAATTGCGGGTGCAATAACAATCATGGCTGCGGGGGTAACGATGGCCTTGTTACCACATTGATCAAGAAACTCCTGTAAATCATAAAGAATTCAGCAATTCAGAAAGATGTAAATTTTGTATAATGGTTAAAAGTTAATATGACCTGAATGAATAAAATATGTAGTTAGTAAAGAAAATTGTACCTTTCATTGTGATAGAACTGAGTCACTGAATCTCGTTTGGAGCCAAATGTCCTTAACTCAGAATTATTCTGACACGTCTACCACCCGAAATTCCATAATTTTGAAGTATATATTCAACAAATATCGATGATTCACTTTCTACATTATCTCAGTTGGAGAAATGCTATATAAATCGAAATACAAGTGAAATTTTTTACGATTTAATCAATCATCATTTTATCATCAACAAAATATGATATTTAAAATTAGTACTTTTATACATACAGGAAATATATCATTGTACATTTATGCATGTATGGCCTGGCTGCCTTACTTCCCACAACACTCTGCGCACGAAATAAAGCCCCCCAGACTTGTGATTAATTTCAATCTTTAAACATAATTTAAACGTAATTGCCGTCCGCGCGCGGACCAAAACAATATAAATTCATATTATATGTACATATCTAAAAAAATACATTGCAAGAGAAAATATTATATATAATTCTTTATCATCTACATGTACATATATACAGTGTGGCCGTCCTCGTCGTCGCCATCTCGGACGAAGACGTTGGCAAATACATAACAATTCGACACGATAATCCCCCTCTCTGCATATGTGTTTGTGTAAGTTTCTTCATCTTCGTGTGCGTGTGTAAGTGTAACATTTGCAACAATTACCAGTCAGAACGGTGAAAACCCTTCGAGTATCGCGCAACCCTCGTTTTTTATATTCACCTAGTTGTAAGTTTTATCCTAGGTAAAATCAATATATTTAATTTTAGTTTTGCTTGTTAGTGTTTGTATCTTTGTGTTTGGGTTGAAATACGAACGACTATCCTACGATAGCACAAGGTATTCATAATTTAAACGCTTAAATAAAAAATAAATACAACAAGGAAGACCCCCATTTCTTTTTAAACATTCATATGTCTTGAATGTGAGTGTGTCTATGTAGATCGAGTGAATTTATAATGGCTGGGATTCACTCGACTTGTCGATCACACCCAAACCAATTTCTACGCACATACATCTCGCATACATCCTCAGACAAGATGATGCCGTAGGTTTTTTTGTTCTCGTGTGTAATGTGTAGATGTGTTGAATTTATTACGATATTGTCATGCGTAATGCAGGCGCATTAACTGTTGTTTCGGGCTCGTTTTCGCCGACGAATTAAATTAATATCACTCTACGAGTTGATTCTATGATTGCCTGCGAATGAAAAACAAAACGATATAAAACATCAGCATGTCTACTGCGTATATTTCTAACTGCGTACCTTGTGACTTTGTCCATGACGTTTCGTAGCCGTTGATCCGTCACGGACGGCACCAACTTTTGTACCATTTCGCATATGAATGTCTCGCTGATGCCTGGACTCGAACGCTCCGCCAGCTCGAACGCGTTCTTTAGTTCTTCGATGGCGTCAATCGATTTGTGCGCACTATCTGGACTCCTCCCGTCATACTTTCTCTGCAGCTGTAACCGCAACAAATGACACGAATTAATATATTGCGGCTAGAAGAAAAACCTTGTTATAGTTACCTCAGATATTAACGGATAAATTACACCGGACAGACATGGGGAGCGCACATCATTCTTGCTCGAATGCGAATGCTCGCGTGAGACACTCTTGCGATGATGTGCTTTCTTATCGTCAGCATCCGACGATCCCCGATGATCGAGTGGGACAAACTCTTTAATCTTTTTCTCGCGATCACTCTTGATCATGTCGCGTTCTCGTTCCCGCTCGCGCTCTCGATCTCGTTCACGCTCACGCTCGCGTTCACGATCTCGTTCGCGCTCGCGCTCCACGTGCATAATATGATCCTCTTTGCGCGTTTCTTGTGCTGACTGGACCATAGATGTTGGACGAGAAGTCTTCAAAAAATCAATTTTTATATTTAAATCTACAAAAGTATAAACTATAAAAACTTACAATTGGTTTCTCTGATCTGTAGTGATTCAGGTTGGAATCTTTCGGCGGTGATTTCGCTAACGCAGGCCCAGAACCGTTCTGCACTTTTTGCGTAACCTTGTGATTTGGCGATGGCAGGTCCTCCGCCATATGCATTGGCTTGTTACCTTTCACAGTCATTATCCAACCAGGATCGTCCATGTAATTATCATGTTTAGACTCTTCACTGTAAATATTGAACACAATTGTTAATGTTTACATTTTGAGATGATGTTGAATTTAGCACTTACGAATCCGAATTTTCCGATTCCGTCTCGCTGTCAACGTTCTTCGTCTCCTTGTATTTCTTGTACCGATCGATAAGGTCCATGAGATAAGAGTTTTTCTTGGCTTTCCGGATGAACGGAAACTTGAGCAATTCTTTGGCCGTGGGTCGCTGCAAGCAAACAAAAAGTAAAGCTTACGAATTAGGGCGCCGATTGAGCTAAGAACTCACGTTTTGCGGATCTTTATTAAGACACGCCTCGACGAAATCCTTAAAGTGCTTAGTAAAGTCGCCGTTTAGCTGCGGCGGATTGTTCTTCGGAATGAGAAAAAGCACTCGCATTGGATGCAATTCTGAATTGGGGGGTTCTCCCTTCGCCAGCTCGATGGCAGTTATTCCCAAACTCCAAATATCCGCCTTCAAACAAAAATTATAATAATTATTTGTTTACTTGCGGTGATTTTTATTAAACAATTTAATACCTTTGAGTCATAGGCAGATTGCTTGATTACTTCTGGAGCCATCCAAAAGGGCGTGCCAACAAATGTGGTGCGCTTGCTGGTGGTGTTGGTAAGCTGACCGGCGACGCCAAAATCAGCCAGTTTCACATCTCCCATTTCACTCAGCAGAACGTTCGCTGCCTTAATATCGCGATGCAGCTTACGCTCCGTGTGCAGATAGTCTAAACCTTTTAGCACTTCGCGTAAAATGACAGCAATGTGCATTTCTTCGAAGTTGCCAGCTTTCATCAGGTCCAGCGCCGATCCGCCGCCCAAATATTCCATGATAATCCATAGTTTTGTTCCCTACAAAACACACACATTGAAGAAATTTTAATAATGAATTTAGTTATAGTCTAAGCAATTAGGGTATTATAGTAAATATTAATTATTTTAAGGAATAACATTTAAAATAAAACAAAACTGCATTGATCAAATCTATAAACGTTATGATGATAAACTTGAGACAGAATTAGTAAAGAAAAAGTCATCAAAACAAGTTTTTACCTATGATATTGAATTATTCATAGATTGTAATAAATGTACAGCAAATTGACACGTTATGACGAGCCCACCACCCGCTCCTTAACTTTCAAACGCGCGGCGCCGCTTAATGGAGGGAATTTCACAATGCGCAAAGGCTAATCTTACGTAATCGCGCGTGTTGGCTGTTATATTACTGCAAGGCCTGCAGGCCTGCAGCTGGGCGAGCGTGGGCGCGCTTCATACGCTCAATAAACTGTCCAGATCACTAAAAATCTTGACGCTTGCACTGCTACATAGCCAAAAACATCTTTTTTACTTGTATACAAAAACCGCCGTTAACGAACAAAAAAATGTTTCAAAAATTGAGATGTGAAGCGGTGTGTAGCAATTTGAATTGAATTCACAATTCATTTCTCAACAAGCGAGTTATTGTTGATTTTCGACCAGAGACGGGAACCAAAACTGAAAAAATATATGTTTACGAAACCGCTCGAAATTGCCACATTGTCTTCACCAGGCCATTCATTTCGTTCGCAATCATATTTTATGATAATTTTGAGCTGCGAAATTCTTCCAAACTTTAATTAATCGATTAGGCAATTAACTTTCTAAGTTGAAACGAAATAAATTTTTATATAATAACATCAAGTAAGACAATAGACTAAACAAATACGTTTTTCCGTGCTTATATCAAATGTGCAAAATTCAATTTTGCGAAATAATCACCTTTAGATAGGAGCCAAAATACTTGGTGACAAACGGGCTGTCGCATTGCGACAGCACCATAATCTCCTGCTGAATGTCTTCGATCTCATCCTCGGCCTCTTCGAGGTCGATAATCTTGATGGCGACGACCTGCTGCGTGCGACGATCGATGCCCTTGAACACCTCGCCGAAGGAGCCCTTGCCGATGCGCTCCTGCTTCGTGAATATCAGCTCGGGATCGACCTTCTGCAAAGCAAACAAACACGAAATTAATCTCGACGCACAAACAACACACACCCACACCATACATACTAGTACAATTTAAAACTAAGATTACGACGGCAAATCCGCACAAAACAAACTGTCCTTGTGTTTTATCCACTCGGCTATCCAATTAAGTTGAAAGCAGCGCATTAGGAAGCCTGGCGAATGCAGTAATACAAACATTTCGCCAAAGTTTTAATCAATTTAGAATCTAGCAAATGATTGCAAAATAAGGACACTAATAGAATTTTATTGTATTGCTTTAGTTAAGTTTTGTTACAAAATTGAATTTTTCAATAAATATAATTTTGTCAAGTTTTGCTGCATTAAATAAATCAAAATGAATCAAAAAATAAAATTGATTCTCAATAAAATGATAAGAAACAAGTATTTGATACTTGAGTTCAATGAATGTACAAAAATTTCAAGAAAATCAAGCTTAAAACAAATATCAAACATGATAACCACTACAATTGCATACTCTGTTTGTTTCTTTTCTGCAATCAACGTAAAGAAAGTAATATTTTTCTTCACTAAAGTCATATTACGATAAAACAAAAAAATCGCCCGCAGACACGCTACGAAACTGTATGAGAATATGCGTCGACCATCGCTGCGTCGTACGCTATGAATTTAAATGCGTCGACGACATGTCGACAAATATGTAGCGAGTATATAGCGACAAACAACGTTTCCAGTCGACTTGTACGTACTTTTATACGCCTTATTCCGGTTTCGACGCGTCGCGACACTCATGACCGTTTTCTAGCGATGTCATCGCTTAATGCGTACAAGTTTTACGTACATCAAACACACCAAAGTGTGAAAAAACAAGTTTCCTTCAATATGAAAATTTCCTCGACAAACACTTGCAGTATTACAAATGCCAGCGCGCGCGTAACTCAAAGATAACAAAACTCCTAAATTGGACAAAAAGGCAATAAGAAACACAATGAGTAATAAACAATAAGCCATTATTCATACAAGTCGATCGTATATATCCTTATCATCACGAAAATATTCAATTGTGATGTTATCTTGTTATCTCGACTCCTCTCAGCTTATTGATTACACCAGCCAAAGTTATAATTAGCATCCTACGACTTACAACATCCAAATTACCGCCTCGATTCACATTCGCATGTTGCAGCTGATGTGGATACCCGTCATACGCATTGATAACACCCTGATATTGATACTGAGGTGGTGCGGCTGCCCACGAGGCAGGCCGTTGCTTCCACTGCTTGTTACCGCCGAGAAAACCTTTTCCGTTTGCTTCGTAGCCATTTAAACCAATATGTCCGTTGGAATGATTATTGTGATATAGGGAATTAGTCCGGTTCGATGGATACTGCGACTGCGAGGGCGACCGCATGATATTTTTTGTGAAACCCGACGACGATGACGTCTTTACACTCACACCCGAAGACCACATCGCATTTTTATTTAAAGCAAAGAAACAACAGTAATCCAATTAAAATGGCACCACACCACACACAACACACACCACACTCAATCCTAGCGCGAGCACTAAGGCTGACTACGCGACGATGATACCATGGTCGACACCGATGCCGATATCATCCTTATCACCTTTTATCACAACTTGACAATCGCGATAAATTGGTATTTTTCTGCGGTGTTCCATACAAACTCAACTTCTTTCGCGTTCCGTGTTCTACGTACGTACATAAGTATACGTTCACGCAGCGCGCATTCCTCGCGAGACAATGAAATCGTTTCACCTCCGCAACGGCGAACGAGCGTTTAGTTTCACCATCCATACCACATTGCGTCGGATTGCTACGCGGTGTGCATGCACAACGAACTGCCAGCCGAGTGAAGAGAAGAAGAGAAGTGCGGTAAGGAGACGCGAGAGGAGTTTGTACAGAGCTTACCATACAATAGAGGAGTTTTCGTTGGGAGAGTCATGAAGTGAAGTCATAGTCATTGCCGCCAGCGCACCGCAGGCGCAGCTTTCGTAATGTCTAATGTCTCATAGTCTCATCAAGAGACAAGACACGAGACAAGCCCATAGACCCAACTTATGAATATTCTTTCGTAACTTTAAGACACTCCCATCATGATGATACGCATGCGCATATGCGATGATATCGCTATCAACAAATACTCTAGTTATTCTAATGAGACTTCCCGGGATGGAAAAATAATTGACTGAAATATTACACTAGATGATTAGATGATCAAGGGGACGCAAATTTGAATCAGTTTCATTAATTCCTGCGCCGCCCGCTCGTCGCCTTCCGGTTCGGTTCATCAACGCCGTCGATTAACAGAGCGCGACAGAGCGCCGCACCACATCCAACAACCAACCAGCTACTACTATTACCTACCAACTACTGAGTCTAGTTACTACTTTCATTATTAAAAACTTCATATAGATTACAAGTGTTTGCAGTTTGTAATTTTTGTTTTCATTTTACAACGTTTTTAAATACAGATATCTACTGCTCAAATTTAACTAAAAAATTGTAATTTAGCGAGTCACTGACCCAGGTAATGATGGTACCATGATGTTGTAAAATTTTCAACTACACCATAGGTGTCTAAAATCAAATTTTCCCATCATCGGCGTGTGTGAGTGGTGTCCAAATGGAAATTTAATTAGATGTGTCGCTAATGGCGCTCTCTGAGTATGAGGCTCATCAGCCTACACCTCCTACGTCGTAGAATATGCCCACATAAACTAAACGACTCAAAGTCACATATTTCTCCTCTGCCTTGGCAGAAAATGCTTATTTTAATGCTGATTATTTCTAGTTTTATTTTTTTTACAAAAATTTGTTGTCTATTGACCTCATGTGAATATAAAACCCAAAAGAAAATGAATGAAGAATCAACAAAGATGTACAAATCTTTAGAATTTAAAACTTTTAGTCAGCAACTATATGAAAAAAAAAGTTTAGTTGTTCAGCACAAGTACTACCATACTACATCATTATACACTTAAGAGGCTTTTGTTGATCGTGCGACTGTGTGTGCGGCATTTATTGAGAGAATCCGTTTATCCGCTTTTTTTCTCTCTGCCATTTTACTCGACCTCTTCTTCTTGATCATCATCAGCAGCCACCTCGTTTGCTCCGCTTTACGCTACTCTAGTTCTAGTCGATCCAATCTATAGCCGTGAATTCATACGCACACAGACAGCTTACAGCTGTTCACACACAGCTCGGATAATTATAATGGCGCAATGAGAAAGTACCGGCCGTCGATTGTATGCAAATCGGACGGAATTATTTTCGTACAATACGCAAACAGCGCGCGCGTGGTTTTGTCCGATTTTCACGGCGTCTCCAATTAATTTTTTCCATTACAATCAAATTACATTCACTCATTCACGCAGAATTTTGTGCCTCAAAAAGTTGTTGGATATTTCTAGAGACCTGAAAACATTGAGTAACGAGCATCTCTAAACGGATAAACAATTCCCGCCGAGAAATCGAATCGAATGGCTGTGCTATTAGAAACTATTGATGGAATTTATATTGCTCGGTGCACAACTGGCATTACTGACACACTGATTAGGTTTACGAGTCATTTTCAAGCATATTCAGTTAATTTCCTCCAATTATGGAAAATCAAAAAATGGCAATGAAAATTATTAGCAGTGCATATGGCACGCAATTATTTTTTCATTATCCACACATTTTTTGCACCTAAAATCTGCTTCCAGTAAAAAAATCAGATTAAAATTTGATTATTAGTTAGAGAGAATGAAAGTATACTGGCCATTCAACAGGGAAATAACATGTTTTATGTAAATCTATTTTTACCAACAAAATAAAATAAAATTTGAGCTGACAATCAAAAAATGTTACACTAATTGATATTTTATCAATACTATCTAATATCAATACAATCTAAATTATTTCAAATGTTTCGATATTCCCTAATCTACGTCTACACATCCTATGCTTTAATATATTAAAACGACTATCTAATCAAATCGATGATACATCTCGACTTAACATTCCAACCAATTCGAAAAACATGTCGTATTCGTGTTTTATTGTTAGTAACTTACAATTAAACATATGTCGGCATGTGTGTGTGCACGTTGATCAATTCATTTCTTGACCAATAAATTAATGCGTAACACTGTAACACTTTTACGCATACCAATGTTGAATTTTTTTTATGCAACCATCTAGTTACAATCAACAAACGTACAACAAATAAACATGTTATGTCAGTGTTTAATTTATTGAAGAAATAAAAACCTCATAAGAACGATTTTTTTTTCTATGAAAACATTCGTATCAAAAATTTAAATTTAATCTTTGTGCATAGAAAATAATAGTCAGCGTTTGTGTCCACCTTTAATCCGTCTCCTACCGCATGAGTCACATTTGTAAAGTGTGACACATTGAGTGCGCCGTGCCCGACATGGTAAGCACAACGTATACGTGTACTCACGCATGCATTTGAATGCGTACTTGTGAAGCATACTAAACTTATTCTTTTGTTTATTCTTGGTTGATTGTCCGCTTCATTTGCATGCGCCGACATAAAAACTACCAGTTCCCCGCGTATTTCACAGCTATACAGACAAAACAATTCACGAAATGGAAAAAAATCTACACACCAGTAATAACAATACCCTGTATAATAACACCAATTTTTTTATTCGTTTATATGTTCATATGCTGCGCTGTAAAATGTCGCCGGTCCTCCTCCACCTCCGGGCGCGTTCCGTTTCAACTTTCAAGGTCGTGCAAATAACTTTATTATACAACACGCATACATACAATGGCGTACGCACGCGCTCCGGAGATGGCTTCACCAAACAAACACACAAACTACGCGCAAACATGCAAAGCAGCCGTTGGCTGCGTTCGTAATAAATTTTCATTAGCATCAATGAAAGCGGCAAATGTGAAACCTACGTCAGCGAAAAATAAAACTTGCGACACTTTATTTTGCAAAATCAAAAATGTAGTTTTCTTATCATTCTTGTTTGTCAAGTTGTGGCTAGATTGAGTATTTGTGTTTGTGTGTACCGTTAGCCACCGCAAATTGAACGCTTCTTTCGCCAATGAAGCGCGGTGTGGTGTGGCCTTCCAATGTCGGAATGTTGGCCGACTGCGCTACCGTGCGGCAGCGACTCGCGGAATGCTTGGAATACTCAATGATATATTCTGCACGCCCGCTTTTCTACATTCCACGCGCCGAAAATTCCGCATACCGATCGAATACTTTCAAACTTCACCAAACATTTTCGAAATACCAAAAAATTCAAATTCAAGCGAAAGCAGGCAGCACGAAGTTATACGTTACGTGACTTTGGCATTTTTAGATTTGCAAAATACCGCGTCACTACTGCATTGCACCTGATTGCAAATATAAAAAGGAAAATGCTTGAAATATAGGGGAAGAAGGATACAAATGTATAAAATTTGTACCTGCCAATCACATCACTTGCAGAACCACTTACAGCGTTAATGTAGCAACAGTAAACAAGAAGAAATTTATTTTTCACTTGAGATTCCCTGCGACTTCGTACGTGATGACGCAGAAGCACACACGTCAAATACGTCTTCTACACAGGTGCCAGCACCGAATTCCCTAGTCCCCACCACTTTTTACGGGTAGGCCGCAGGTATAAGAGGACAGCCCGCAGCGACATATGTGCTCAGTCGTGCCCGGGTGATTGAAGCTGACGGAAGTTCCTCTCTACTTTCAGATCGCGCAGAAAGAGGTTTGTGAAAACCGACCATACGAGTACTTGTACATGGGAAAAATTATTTTTTGGAGACAGTTTTCGTCGGATGGCTACAACAAACCCATTACATATTTTTCAGTTAAACTTGGCTAATTCAAATTGATCAAGCGTTTTATTTATTTATTCTTGTAAAACTAGCGCCCAGTAATTCATTTTATACCTTTTGAAGAGAGGAGATAAGTTAATATTGATAAATAGCAAGAATTCAATACTTGTATTCATAAATCAAACACAAAAATTCCCATTTTTGTAAAGCGAGTGAAAAGCCATCTCTAAATAGACTGAAATTAAATTCATGAAAATGCATGAATATTTGATTCAATCCGGAATTATAACCAGCATACCAAAGTTTACTGGCCGGCATGAACTTCAACATTCAATATTCAACTAAATTTAAACACGACCAGCCACCGAAACTCTGAATAATAAACAATTTCGTAGCAGAGACAACGTTGCTTGCGGTCGCACTGCGGCTGCGACTCGCGACTATACACTTCGATATCGATTTCCACCAGCAGCAGGCAGCAGCAGCAGCAGCTCACAGAAGCATCGCGCGCTCGACACACATTTCCAATTTCCACAAAGCAATTTCAAATTTTAATTGAAAACGCACCACGAAACAAATCTCAATCTTCACGTACTTACACTCGCCCGACATTTGTTTCTAAATTTTTAGTCCCACGCATGTCAGGAATAAATAAATAATAATCGTTTCGCCTTTCGACGATCGCAGTTCTACCTATGATGCCTCGTTCCAAATCTAAATTTTGTGTGTTGCAAGCACAATAATCGTGATCGTGCATTTTCAACTCGCTTCAAATTCCCATGGCGCGCGCGCGCGTTTATGAACGAACCGTTTTCAGTCGATGAGCATGACGCTTCAATATGTCATGAATGTTATGATAGTCGAGGATCATAGCCTACAACAAGTCGATCGTGACTCGTTATAATGAGAGTACAACAAACAAAAACACGCAGCAAAAACTACCAAACATCGAAACCGAAAGAAATAGGTAGGTAGGTATTTTTAGAAGTTGCATGATTGAAAATATCTAGTGCAATCGAATATTTTTTTGTTATTAATTTAATAAATAATATTATGGCGGGGCATTGAAGTGGCACCACAATTACACGACCTACTCAGGCATCACTTTTTGCAGATTTTCGCAATTTTTGGTTCTGGAATGCGATTTTTATGCAATGAATGCAAAAAAAAAACTACGTTACATGACGTATATACACCATGTTCAACTTTGTCAATGTAAAACAGTACATATTTCAATGCCAAAACACATACGTAACACTGGCATGATTGGAATATTGCATTCTACGTACATTACAAAATTTAAAAACGCACACATGTGGAACCGACCCAGTGAAACGATTGCATGCGTCGAATAATTTATAATTACGATTATTCCAATGCGTACCAGATAATTGCCGGCGTGCGTATTGCGTATCGATGATGCAACCAACCAACCTAACACTTACACACGCACAGATACCCCAATCAATTATTACTTCTTCCTAGAAAAACTAGAAGAACTAAATGAGAAGAATGATTTCCGGTACTATTAGAGTACTAAGAAAAGAGACAACTACTCGTCTGTTGATGTATAATATACATACATTTGTATAATTTGTTTGTGTTGCGAGGAAAATAAATTATCGCCGTTTTACGCTGCACGCGTGCGCGCAAAGACACGAACGCAGCGTCGAGACATAATGATGATGTTGAAAAGACGTCTTTGCGTGCAGCGCATTGCCTCCTCGTGGTCCGTTAGATACAAAAATTGCAAACGTATAAAAAGAATCAAAGAAAAGTATCAGCAAATATCTTATTCTTAAGAGATTGGTTGTGTGACAATTGGGTCAATTTGCGAATCTATCCAAGTTATCCACGCAATTAACCAAAGACAGCCGAAGAAATAAACAAGATGGTGTTTTTCGCTTCTGCTTTCAAGAAACTGGATGCGCTGTGTTTGTGTGTGTGTGATGCGTGAGTGCATCTCGTCTAGTTTCGTGCGTGCGTAGAGCAGATACGTGCGTGAGATTCCCCCAAGTCATTCACCCGTAGCAATCGTAAAAAAAACGTCTCGTGGAAATGAAGAAACGTAAGAAAGTATCCAAGATAACACACGATAACAGTGCAACCTCACATAGCACCATAAAATTTTCATACATTCCGGGAGAAAATAAGCTTTTTGGTTGTTTGTTTCACAAACAATAGTCACATTTAGTGTACTTAACGCGGGGGAGCCAAACAAGGAAATGCGTTACTATCGCACCATCACAGGTGCAAACTGTTTCAATTTATAGGGCGTTATTTGTAAATATTAAGTTCGAGGAAAATCTGTTAGCGAATTATGCTTATTTGTACATAAATATATTGTTGATAACACTTAGTAGTAAAAAGTTATTAATAAAAGTGACAAAACTTGATGTTTTAACTTTATGCGCTTGCAATTTATATTTTCTTATGTAATTATGTATAGTATTTAATGTAGAATCGATGTTGAATTGATTATGATTCTAACTAATGGAATTATTGAGTTATTTGTCCATAATCATAAGAATTCAATTTTTGTTTGTTTATTTCGTGTTTTGTTTTGACCGACTGCGTAAGAGTGTAAGCCTACAGCGAGGTGCAGGCTGCTATCAAATGCTTCCTTCACGCTCGATTACAGAAAAATACGCCGAGTTTCTTACCTCATTGAAGGCCATTTCCGAAGACGGGGGGTTCGATGTCCTGTTCACCTGCGTGCGATGATGTCAACGCGTCTCCGCCGCTCGAGTGTACGCCTCGCCCGCCCGGGAGCGCCTCCGCATCGAGGGCACCGCCGGCCCAGCAGTCCACCGGGTGGTGGTGACACTGCACACGCACTGACGCACTGCTCACCTTCGCACGGCTACGGCGTTGTACCCTACGAATACATCACATTCGCCAGGTGAAAGATCCCGATCATCAGGTGGGAAAGGAAGCGCCAAACGGGACACCCTGCTGCCACTGCTGCAGGCACTCGGTAACTCGATACACAAATGCACTGGATATTGTGCAATCACAGCACACGAGCGGGCGATGTAAACGCCAGCTGCACGTACACTTCGCGATTTTTCTCGCACGGCGTTATCGCGACGACGTTTTCTCCGGTGCGGGCACACCGTGTGGACAGCGGACACCTTCGCACGACCGACGACTAGAGCGCCATATTGACTCGCAGCGGTCCCGCACGGCAGCCACCCAGCGACATCTGAACGTAAAGAATATACTAACATTTCTAGAAAACCATACATTTACAATAGGCAACCATACGTACACCGTAATTATACAACGCGTTCAAAGAACAAATTCGTACGATGTACGCATGAATGTTAGTGTTTCAGGAATACAGGATAAGAATCAATGAATTTTCTAGACATATTTGTTTTTAAAATTTAAATCGTGGTCGTCATCATAAATAAATCAAAAAATTAAAAAAAAACTTACTTAAAACTATTAACCCATATTATACGGAGGAGGTTGCTGCGGATATTGATTGCTATTCATTTGTCGCAAGTGCGCTACTAAAGCGGGCGCTTGTTGCTGAGGCCCGCCGGGCACTTGCCCACCACCGCCTTGATGTTGTTGTTGTTGCTGCTGCTGTTGTTGTTGCATCGCCAACATTTGCTGACGCATGCGCTGCTGTTGGAACTGATTCTGTTGCTGTTGTTGTTGTTGCATACCCATTCCTGGATTCATTGGTACTCCTGCTATAAAATGACCAAAATAGTACATATAATTTGACTAACTAACATTATTAATGTTTCTAACCTTGGTTGCCCGCTCGTGAATATGGTGGCGCTGGACCTTGCGCAGTTGCCATACCGGCCATTGGATTGTTCATGTTGGCATTCATGGTGACATTAGGCGCCTGCTGCATGTATTGGCCACGTGGCGGAGCTCCCTGTGGCATTCCGCGATAGTCTGGCTGTGGGGCACGTTGAGGTCCGCCAAAGTTCTGCTGCTGGAACATGGCGGCCGAGTTCTGCTGGCCTTGCATCATCTGCTGATTGTTCGGCATCATTGCATTACCACCGTAGTTACCAGCATACTGCTGATTCATACCGGTTGGGATATTACCGTACGCTGGGAACATTCCCTGAAAATAAACAAAATCTTCAGTTGATTGCTTAAATAGACATAAATCAACTTACTTGATTGGGTTGCATTGCACCGGGATGTTGTTGACGTATGCCAGGTTGGCGAGCAAACTGCCGTTGCATACCGGCCGGATAACCACCCTGTGGAACCGGCGCGGGGCCAGGAACGTTCTGTTGGCCTTGAGGGCCGCTCATAAATGGCGGAGTGTTGAGGGGATGACGTTGGCGCAGCATATTGGACAGTGCTGCTTTCGATTGCGTCATTTGCGGACGTTCAAAACGATTCGCCATTGCTGCTGTTCAGAGAACAAAAAATATATCATTAACAATACAATTTAAAATAACTAAATTATTTTATGTTACCATTTGGCATTTGTTGAGGACCAGGATAATAACCACCCTGCGGTTGTTGCTGTGGGGCTTGCTGCTGTTGTTGAGCATTATACCATTGCTGTTGCCCTTGGTTTGGATTAGCCTGCTGGAATTGCTGTTGTGGTTGCGGTTGCTGCTGCATACCTCCACCATAACCCATATGTTGAAGGGGTGGAGTCGGGCCAGAAACATTCTGCATGCCCGACATTTGCGGAGGGGGAGTCTGGCCAAGCGGTGATTGGCCCAACATGTTTGGCACCGGTACAGTAGGTGGTGTGGCGGCAGCCGCGGCCGCCGCTGCAGCTTTCGACTTCTTCGTTCGTCCGCGTTTCTGACCCTTCTTGCCGATGGTGGTGCCGTGTGGTGACTGATCCACAGACGAGGGTGTGTCAGCCTTCATTTCAAGCTCTTTTAACTGCGCACAACGTACAGCGAAAAAAAGCCAAACGCAAACAAAACCAAAATAAAAATTTCAAAAACAAAACAAAAAACCGCAAAATAAATGTAACAAAAGAAGCTATATTTCAAACATACCGGTTTATCAGGTACGGGTTCCAAATCTTCTGGTGGTAATGGCGGTGGTTCCAAATAATGCGACACTGGTTTCTGTAGATTATGTGTGTGATACTTCAACAAACGATGAGTATCTTCACATGCAAGTGGTCGTCGCTCAAGTCGGACCGCTCCAAACCATGCCCACGATAATGGAGCAGGGTTCTTCATACCCTCCAACACATCCCAAGGACTAACCTTCTGCTTATCTGACACCTACACAAGAATTATTTTATCGATTGTCTCAAACACAAACCACAAATATTATACCCTACCTGCAATCCATGCTTTTTATCAATACTGTCAAAACTAATCTTGTTGCCCTTGTTATCAGTAATACAACCAGTCGGCTCCACAGCAATCAATTCGCATGCGACCCTTGTCAGTGGCAATAATTGCCTAATATGTTGCAAACTCGAACTCTGGCGCTCTCCGATTTCACGTTTTAACTTCTTCGTCAAATTCTGATAGGTCTTCCTACCATCGTCTTGTTGATCCGATGCAAGCGCCGAATGCACTAATGTTGCCAACATATCAATGACAGTCGTAAACAGATCGCTGTGCGTGTGTAAATCTACTAAATTATTCGTAACAAGTTGTACTAATAACAGCGCCCAATCGGTAGTAACCGGTATACTACGCTGGAACGCCTCAAACACGCCACCAACCAATGAAAACCTCAATTGCAGACCATCTAAAGTCCGCTCGGTGTTACAAATATCGGTTAGGTTTCCCTCACGCGCTAATGACACTAGTTGTGATAGTTGGTTATGTAACGAGGAAAGAAGACCTTCACGCTGGCCATCCTCTTGGTTTTTCAAGCATGACAATACTAAACTAAGAAATGGTTGGTGTGACAGGATGGATTGCACATCTTCGCGTGTGCGTTTAACCTTAGGTTCACGTATCCAACCGTTCGTTTCTAGGACTTGACCGGCAACTTTCAGTACACGACCCTGGACAGCACTCGGCAGTTTCGAGATTAAAGGCGCGACGAGCCATATACTTTTAGCAGTATCGTGCTTTTTATCTTCTGATCCACTCTCGGGCGATGGAGAACTCAATTGAAATACGTCAATTGCTGCTTTTGCGACCGTCTCAAGCCATTGACTTAATTCCGGTGAATTTGCGCTAAACTGTTTGAACATCAGTTGAAGATCCAACCAGGACATTCGTAACGTCCACAATTCCAAATTCTAAACAAATATTAATATTAAAATATAATATTATCGCAAATTTATAATATTTACCTCTAATATTCGACTAATCATACTCTTCTGGTCCAGTTCATCAATGGCGCTGCTAATGTCCGGATAACAAATCATGTGCAATAGTCGCTGAGCCTGCGAATGACTCAAAACCGGATCCAGAAGATTGTCGGGATGACATAGTTCCTCCGGATGACAGAGGCATCTCTCAAGCACCCATTGTTGCGAACAAATCTCGCGAAGAACATGACACGCAAATGCTGATAAGGATGCCGTGCTTTCATTGCTGCCATTGTTGGATTGCCTACAATATGAACTAACTAGTTAGAAAAGTGAAGTAAATATATGGTTGGTGATTATTTACAGTGTGACATTGAGTACTACGAACAAAACAGAACATTTTTTTAGTTATATAGGGAAATATGTACATTTTGTGGTTTTAAAGTGCAACAGAAACAAAAATTCAAGCAAAAGCTGAAATGTTAGGGTGACCAGACGCATGTGATCGGTTGTGGCCACGCCCTCGCATCAAAGCGTAAATTTGATTTGATTGACTCAGTCTATTTATCGGACAAACCTAAGTGCGATCCTCGCCCCACAGATATCCATATCCGCCCTGAACGGAACAAACAAAACTTTCAACTTAATGTTTTTCAAACTTAAACTTAATTACGCCGTCGAAGATTAGTTAAATCGTCAAAAATAAAACATTTAACTTACGTTAATTCCAATGATGGTTCACCACCCGCCATGAGATCACTCGTTCCTAAAATGTGTGATATACTTAATTCCGTGCCTTCCTTGGCGGTGGCATCCCCCACAACTAAAATTGCCTTAAGCACAGCCAAAACCGGTCCCACGTGGATATTCCGATGCGCAGCCGCTAGCAAATGTCGATCACAACTTAACCTCACTCCCAAAGAAGGTCTAGGTGTAAGTGGTGGACTACCAACCGAGTATAACCCCGGTTGAGGGCCTTCTGCAGTACGAAACAGCCTTAGTAAAAGGTGGCATGTCAATCGCATACCACCCTCGGCTGCACCGCCGCCATTATCTAGTGTTTTCACTTTCAGTAAACTGGGTAACGCTACGCGTCCAACAAAATCTTCCAACGAGAAGCAATGGCGTGCGATTAGTATGCACGTGAAGACAGCAAGCGCATTGTGAATGGATGCGTCCTGAATGTCCAGGTTTTTATGCAGGTCGGTGTAGTAGCCCGGATGTGACATGGGGCAGCAAAGGGCTAGCAACGCGCCCAACCATTCTGCTGCCAGTGTATTGCAACATGCAGTCATTTCTGCACACATTATCGATAGGTCGTTGAGGCGTTCATTATCGATTTCTCTGCAGACGTACATTACTGCGTTGCTAACAAATGAATATCTGGAATAAAAGTATAAAACAAAAATATTACTATAATTAATGGCGAAACAACATCATTTTATGAAAATTTAAGTATTCACGAATAAAAAGTTGCATAACTTGAAAGAATTTGTAAAAAAATTATGCTATTACCTGTTATTGCCATTTTCCCCAAGTTGTCGCACCCAAGTACTTTCCACCTTTCCACCTCTTCGAGGACTCGCAAACACTTCTTGCATAAAACTAGCACTGTACACATAGCTACTGCTCGGCGTGGGTTGTAACGCTGTGTATAAAGCTTGCCTGATTTTAGGATAAGCGTTACCGAATGGCTCAACAGTGTGCGGTTTTGATTTCAATAGGTTGCAAGATGAATAGAGATCGTATAAATGCGCGAGAATGCAACGTTCTGCTGAGGAACAATCACCAGGATTGGAGACGTGTTTCACCACGCGGCACAAACCCTCAAAAACGGCCGAAGTCTGTTCAGGTGATACTAAAATACAAGATTTTAAGTAAAATTTATAAAAATTGCATAGTTTTTAAGTTAACTTACGCAATAAGCAGCAATGATACCTCCGCAATACACCCACAACATATAAACTTAATCCCGTTGTGTAATTCCTTGCCAGAACAGAGTTTTTCGAAAACAATTGCGCTTCAACTTCAGGCAATTCCTTCAGGATCTGAATACATACATCAATCAATCCGTAGATATTCAGTGCCAGTTCCATTAAGTCGAATAAGAATGCCACATGCTCTTGCACGGGCAAATAATTCGAACTGCCAGTCGCAAACGAATTCAGCATCTCGACGACAGTGACACTGCATTGGTAGGTAACAACATGCTGATCGAAGTAACTTAAACTCTGGCATTTCGTTGTGGTTGCTTCAAAGTTAAACTCATTGCGTGAGTGTTTCTTTACTTTTCCACCCTCGGCGACATCGATGCTAAACTTTTTCGAGAATAATTTACAAATTTCCTTGGACATTTTCTTCACAGTGTGCCGTGCTTCATCACGAACTTTACCGACACCATAAAGCAAAACATGCCGTTGATTACAATCATGTTGGCTGTAAGGATCGTCCTGACACAGTGGAAAATGCGTAGTATAAATAAAATGTCGTGAAAGTTTTGTTTTCGAGTCGGGATGGTGGTCGGCTTCCATAGCAACGGCGCCCATTGAACTAGGAACATGTGCATGGTGGGAATGATCGTGGTCCTTCGGCGAGTCAGGAATGTCCATCGAGTTTTGTTGGTCTTCTTTGATATCTTGCAGGATTTTATCCAAGTCCGCGTCGACTTTGAAATCATCATAGTCCATTTGATGAGGTTGCTCCTAAAATAATAATAATATAAAAACATAAACCGTGAATAAAAACAAAATAAATGTAATTCACCTCTAATTTAGGATGAGTAATCTGTTGTGTCTCAGTAACATCATCCTGCCCCAACAAATCACCTCTAGAAATCAGCGTACACATATACGCATCGTGCGAGAACACATCTCTCCGTATCAGCTCCGCAAACAAATGTACAAGATTCGAAAACGCCGTTTTCTTCTGCGCGCTGTCATCAGGCGACGGAACCGGCGCATCAGTATCCAAAAACTTCATCAGTAAATTTTGAAACAATGGCGGTCCACCAGGTACACTCACATTGCTGTCTTTATCATCGCCTTCCTTCGCCTCCTGTTCGTTATTATTCGCATCTGACTGGCGCCTATCAAGCAGTGCCGCAACAGCCAAAGCTCGATGTTCACCAGCGCGTTCTGGCGACACTGCCCATTCACACAACAACTTCACCACTGCATTCTCATTGTCGTTATTATTAAACACTTTCGTATACAGTGTGTCTAAAGAATTAGATGTGTCCATCCTGTCAAATCTATGCCTATCCAATGCATCCAACGCAGCAAGAACTCGATTCGTAATTGTACCTGTTGAAGATTGTTGTACTTTATCCATACACCATCGACTTTCCGCTCGTTTACTCCGCTCCCTAATATTTGCTTCGACTTGTTGAATTTGTTTCCGATAAGACATCGCCTCGCATCTAGATGGAATTGGAAGTGTAGATGGCGCTACCGGTAAGAAATCTAATGGTGATCCATGCCAAACTGAACCAAGTCCGACTCCACACCATACAAACGCTGTAGGACATTCTAAACAAATCGTTTCTATAATACAACTTAATTGTAGAACTATATCGCGATGATGCGCACAGTTTTGCAGCTCTTGCAGTGTCGTCTGCTGAGTGTTATTACTCTGCGTGTCTTTTTTCTCCTCCAGCCTGTCTCGTTCTCGATCCCGTTCGGTTTTACTATCAGTCAAACCATGCGGGGATGTCATAACGAGTGGATCACTCGCATTTAACATTAAGCCCAATTTTTTACAGCATAAATGTCCTAATCGACGCGATAACAGCTCTGATTGGACAAAATCATCCAAATATTGTAATGCTAAAGGCAAATATAATCGTAGTAAACCGTCATCGTTTGGTTGCGAGCGCATTTTTCCAGCAATTCGATTATCCAATTAAGTAGCTCTTGGCGATCAATTAAACCTTCTTCCGTCATAAATTTTAGCAGTTCGATGCCGTACAGCCAGTAGCGAACCGATTGTTTTTGTTCTGCTTCGGTGATCATTGGCGGTGCGGTCGAACTTGGTGTTGTATTCATTTGTTTCTCAACTTGCGAATAGTATTCTTGTAATCTGGGGATTTGATCTTTGAGGAACTTTAAAAGTGTTCCTGTCCATTCTGAAATTACACCGGCATGCATTAATTAATTTTGGCTGTTTTGTTTTAGAATACTATTTAGGCATTCTCTTACTAGGAGTTAAACATAAATTAATATTTATAATATTTACCAGTAGTTGGATCAGCAAGTTGTCGTTTTTTAATTTTCGCCTCCGAAACAGCGACCGCATACGCCGAGCTGAGCTTGATAAACCAAGTAGCTCTTAACATGGGTACCTGATTATCACATAAATTCATAAAAATCTCCTCTTTCTTATTAAAAGTCGGCGCTTTTTTCGCCAGATGCATCAGCGGCTTATTCCCGGCGAGATCTTTAAACCATAGATTCACAGTTGTCTTGGTTTTGCCAGTGACTGGCCAAAAGTTGTCCTTGGTATTAATCTGCTGCCGCTTTCGGCCGGAATCTTGTAGTGTGCACAGTTCCTCTTTTCTTGCCACAATTAAGTTAAAAATGCGCCAACCTACAAGAAGTTTATTGGATTCTTGTTTACTGATTGTTATTGTTTAAATAAATTGTTTTACCTTGCTGGGATTCACATTGCAATTGCGTGCGGTGCCGAACTCGTCCGTGAGGTGGGTCATCGTCGGGAAGCCATGCTTCACGTTGAGGCTGGTCAGCTCATCCTCCTTCTGCTTGGGCTCCTGCGGGTAGACGTCCGGCGGGCCGATGCGCAGCTTCTTCAGCGGCCGCTTCTCGTACGAATGGTTGGCGGTCATCATCGTTGCGGCCGGCTGCAAACGCGTGCACTAGGTAGAACAAAACGGGCGCGCGCACTATATGGACGGCCACATGCCGTCCCCGCGGTTAATTGTGTTGCATCTTCGCCGGGAGATGTTTAGCGAGTCGCGAAACCAGAACGAAAACAAATCGACACCATCTTTGATTTGACACAACACAAATCAACGCAGAGGATACGAATGTCTTCGGTTGGTCACGACTATGTGCGAGTGGCTGCAGATCGGTTTATGTCGGAAAAAGTCGGCGTTCGACGAAGAAATTCAAAATGAAAGAAATTCAAATTTAAAAGAAGTGTATTATATCTTTAAATTAATAAATATAATTATTTTAATATCTAATATTAAATAAACCAATTAAAATAGTGTTTTATGTACTACTTTTAAAAATTATTACTTTTTTTAAAGGTGTACTTAAAGAAATAACCGCTCCTTTTTAGTGAAACTTCTTTGGATACCTGAGCGCATGCGCCACAATGCAGTTTTACAGATGTCACTATTATCGCTGTCATAAAGTATGTGATTGTGCGTGGGACGGACGCAGCAATAAATTAAACATTCCGACGTGCCCAACGTTCACAAGACGTAGTTTCCTAGTTCCTATACGGCTACAAAGTGCGCGATACGACGTCGCCCTCGTGCAGCAAGATGGGTCGGTCGCGTTCGCGCAGCAAAACGCCCCGCAAACACCACAAAAGCAAACATCACAAACGCAGCAAGTCGCGCGATCGGGATCGCTCTGAGCGCAGCGCTAGCAAGACGTACAAAAATGACAAAACCAAGGAGAGGAGCTCCAAGTCTCGGTTAGTACACCTACACATGGTTTTATTTGTTTGAAACAACCGCAATGCTGCGGTGATGCTGTTTACATTTTCATATCATAACCTTCAAAACTAATTAATTCGATATGTACCATGTGTCCGTGGTTTTTAACATAACCTTATTTAAATCCTATTTTTATTTTTGTAGAAAAAGATCACATTCCGTATCTTCATACTCTAGTAGTGACGGTTCGGTGGATCTAACACGCTCAAAACACAAAAAATCATCACGGACCCGCACTAAAATGGACGAAGTGGAGCGATTAGCCGAGATGGAGCGACAAAGGCGGCAGCGCGAAGCTGAACAGCGCCTTGTCGAGGAAGAAACCGCCAAGAGAATCGAAGAGCTCGTCACCAAACGAGTCGAAGAGGAATTGGAGAAGCGTAAAGATGAGATTGAGCGCGAGGTGGCGAAACGAGTCGAGGAAGCAAAACAGATAATGGAGAAGCAAATGATGGAGGAGATGGAGCGCCGCAAAGAACGCCAACTGCAGGAAGAAAAACACAGAGAGGTAAGCGCCACGTCCTGCGCGCTGAGCGTTCGCAGACCTGTGATAAATTGCGTTGTTACAACAACGCAGTCTGCACCTTTTTACAAACATTTTGCATAATGTGCAAATGTGTCGCCCGCATATACATCATGTTCGTCTTTACTTTGATTTTACAGCCAAACGAAAAAGAAACGCAAACAAAACTATCGCGTGCTTTTTCAGTGGTTAACCCTACAGTAGACGCTGGCAAATCACATATAAAAAGCGCTCACTGTAGGGTTAAGAAAACCTACCAAAGTATTTTATGTTTTATTTGGCGCCAATACTGTTTGGTTAAGAGTTTTTTTCGAGTCATTCAAATCTGTGATAATACAACATTCTTAACCTTGCTGTGTGCGTTCAAAAAATTAAATTTTCTGTAAATTTGCGCGCGCTTACTGTAGGGTTAAGCAAACTAAAAAAATAAAGAAGCCGAATCAGCATATTTGCTAAACAAAAAGGTAACATTGTTATTGTTGATAAAAAAAAGTCACACAGACATGACAGGAGATGATGATGATGATGATGATTACTCATTGCTCAAGAGTAGAGATATAAGAGAATCACTGCTTGTGTTGTTCGGAGAAGGATGTGCCCGGCCCCCCGCGCCATTCAGGTATTATCCACCTTTTATATTTTTATTTTACTTTCTTTTTTTCATTTACTATATAATATACAATATTATATAATGTTGATATATAATAAAGTCGCAAATATTTTTGCAGAATTTGTTTTTATTTTAAGAGCATTTGTGTGAGGCACTACGCTCTCTCTGACGATGTTGACGACCGCAGATACAAAATGGCTGGCCCCGCGCGCATGTAAATGTAACTTGTAGCATACAGTGTGTTCTTAGTGTTTATTATTATTTTTAAAGAGATATGTTGGGACATCACTGTATGTGCGTGTGTGCATTGAATGAGTGCGTATGAGTGTGAGATTATGTTGTCGGGAGTGGGCCAGCTATTTTCGCGCGTCTATTCGCCATCTCACGCTTTTACTGTTTATAGGAGGAAGAACGGCGGAAACGCGAGGAGTTGGAACTGATCATGGCTGAGAATAATAAGAAAATCGAGGAGGCTCAAAGAAAACTCGTAAGTTCACTTCATAGCTCTACTGCAATGCAACTATTTATAACATTTTGTTCTATTTTTTATTTTCTCAGGCTGAAGAAAGATTAGCAATGGTAGAAGAACAAAGGAAGATGGAGGAGGAGCGACAGCGCATGCGCAAGGAGCAGGAGAAACGCATCAAGGAGGAACAGAAAAAGATCCTCGGCAAGAACAATTCGCGCCCGAAGCTCTCCTTTTCGCTGAAGCCGGTGCTCTAGTGTTTAGTGCGCGTCGTGCTTGCGCGGACTGAGTTGTTAAGATGGACACCATATGCTTCCGGGCGCCATTTTGACGAGTGCGCAGAAACTCTAGTTATTGCATGCAGTTTTAGTTCACTTAATCTAATTACGAATAACGCTCAGGTGTACATAATCCCCCCTTTTACGCCCCTGCCCCCCAAATAATTAAGTAATGCGCCTAATCGGTCGATGTGTACAAAATGTTATCGATCATGTTTAAACAATTGCACTCATAGTTTTTAAACACGTATCTTTTCTTAAGTAGTGTATTTATCGAGTCAACATTTTCAATAAAATTCATTTTATAGGGAGAGACTGTTTCTTACCGATTTATACACCCTTTCCTCTGGCACGCTCCAGCATTAGTTCGAATTTGGTCGGTTTCTGTCAAAAAAACAATGTTAATTATTTATTTCGACCACCATTTTGTGAAATTCTTACTTTTGCGTTATTTCGACGGTTTGTTGTTGCAGGCTTGGGTGGTGCTTGCACAGTCGGCATATTTTGTGGGTCGTCAGAAAATTTCATCGATGACACCATCTTCATCACGTTATTCACTACTTTACTATCAGTGCGCATGTTTAAAGTTGTTAATGCCTGCGATATGACTTTGCTACTGCTTTTCAATGTTGAATCAGAAGCTTTGCGCACGTTCAAAGTTGCTGGTTCGGATGAACCAGACGAAGTTTGTTTCCGCTTTCCGCCTGCCATGTTCGCAACTACACTCTCAGTCGACTCAGCTTTATCCAGATCCTGTTTGAAAATCTCCTCGATCTCCTCCATGTTGGATTGTATCTGTTGCATATCTTTACAGTAATTGTAGGTCTCGTCTGAGTTTGTTTTTGATTTATTTTTTATCACTCGTCGATTGCGTTCTTTCTCGATAATAGACAAGAGTTGCCGTAGAGTTTTCTTCATTTCGTTGCCGACGTACTTCATGTAGTCGGCGGTCGTAATCACGTTGAGACTATCACTGGATCTGCTTGGTTTGCAGCCGATTGCGTTGGCTGCATCTTCAGGTTTCAGGAAATAATCGGCCGCGATTGGTTTACCTTCAAGGCGCAAGCCTTGCACTTCGTGTGGTGCTGGCAATATCTTTTCCTTGTAGATTTGTTCAAAGTGACCGGTTGGTGCGCGCGGATTGCGAGCGTTGTCGACTACAACTGAAATTCGAAACATTTTTAGGTTATGCTTATGTAGAAGAAATATTACCTTTTATAACGTCTTCTAACACCATCGGACACAACTTTGCCGTGACTGGTGTGCTAGGATTAAGCGCAGGTTTGGAATTAACCTCAATCAACCACGGAGTAAAATCTTCAGTGATCATAAAGTCAGCGCCATGCAATTCGAATGCCTTATTCGTGCGAGAGATCTGATCTTGGTTAGTCAAAATGGCCGCCACAATGCACTCCTTCATACCAGGATATATAATCTGTTCAAACACATTGGGATATCCAATGTTATTCAAATAATCCTTAAAATCAGCGAGGTACCACATATTGTGCGATGGCAAGCATAAATCTCTATTACCATTGTGATATTTGCTTTGCACTGAATTATTCGTCAAGTGTATAGACTCATGCAACTTCCGTAGATTATACGTCTGCGAACTAAATCGTAAATAACACTCTCGATAAATCCAAATAGTAATCGGTTGCGTTGAACTGATCATAAACCATTGTCGTATATCAAATTTAGTGTTATAGATCAGTAGAGGGCGCTCAATATACTTCTGTATCACGTAATTATTCGTTTTATTTTCTTTTATCACTTTAAGCACATACGGCAGTGTCCTACAAAAATGTATTCCTAATCCTCGTGAACCATAACTAGGCTTAAGTATCCAAATATTCATAAAACCATCCATGTCCATATAAGGATATAAATCCTTTAATTTCTTCAGCATTGTTCTTGATTTGTGCACTAATGACATTTCGCTTTCCAAACCTGATTGTTTGAAGTGATTGCCAACGTGCACAGCTTTATAGAAATAGTCTAAAAAGGTCTGCCATTCATTATCATCCGGACATGGAATATCTTTATCAATATCTTCGTGTTTCAATCGGCGCGCATAGTTGGCGCATTCTCGTAATGCAAAATGAAAGAATGATAATGGCACCTTACCACTGATCGAGATTAACTTCGATACTTGCGATTCATGCGTGACCACAATCCATTTCAATAACGACATGGCCGCGGTGATTTTAAAATCGTAAATGAATTCATCCGGGTCGCCATTATTCATCAATGAGTATGACCTGGGTACTCTTAGAAAAGACACACCAGGATTATTATACCAATAGGATATTTTTGCACTCTCGCATAGGCCTTGTTTATTCGCATAGTTGAACCGATTTTTATTGATAAAGTTGATCAAAGAATCTTTAAGATTCTCCAAGTTATTCCGATAGGTATCCCGGTTCAAATCCCAATAGAACGCAACCGGTAACGCACCAATCATCTTGGACATAATCAAATTCCTGTAAATTTGTGATAAGTCTTTATCTTTTAATCCTAGAGATAATTCAGGGACTGATAATGTCTGCAGGCGTCTATATAGAGAAGCTTCAACATTCGGTGGCACGTAGTTGATGTGATATTTTTCAACCCATCCTCGTAATAGCAATGCTTGCCTGATTGTGTAATAATTTCCGGATACCGTGAAGGTCCGTTTGTATTTGATGGCTTGCTCGACTTTTTCGCGCAGGATTTTTATTTCCTCACGAAGTGGATATGTGGATGAGAATACTTTCATATTGGAATTGGCGGTAATACTTGTTGGTGCGTATGAGGATGTAGCGCCATTCACATTCAAGATGGCCGCCGAGTTATATCTGGTATGTGATGATGTTGGTCGTTTGATGACTATTTTCGATGGTCTGAGTTTCTCCACCAATGTAACATTTGCTTTCAATCGTGATGCTGTAGTCATCGACGGCCATTTTGTGGTTCCTGCTGAATCACTACTATTTTCATATGATGTTGGTCCGGGAGAGGTTATTGTTCGTTTTGGATTGTAGATATCCGTGAGATTTCTTAATGTTTTCGAGTGTTTATTCATGATTTCATCGAGTTTTGCACGCACAGATTGGGAGCGCTCTGCCCAATTGTTCACTGGTGCCATTGCACTGGTCGTGGTAACATCGGATTGCTTACTTGTTACTTTTGCATGTTGTTTCGATGATTCTATTTTATCATATTCAGATTTCAGAGTGTCCAGTATATTTGCCAGGTTTTTCGTTGCTCGTGGACTGGGAATCTCAACAGTTTTTTCTTCATGCTGGTTTTTGCAGGCGGTATTCAGGTATGGAATAAATCGGTGTCTTCACCGTTAAATTTGATGCTTTTGATAATGTTGACGATTTACGTTTCAGTTTACGTTTGCTAATGGAAGATGTGCTGCTTAAGCGTTTTTTGACTGGTTTGGTCGAACTCGATCGTTTCATGGTGTTGAATTCATGAAAGGTTGATAAATATCACTAGAATTTTGCAGCTTGATGGTTTTCAGCTTAAATTTTCGCAAAGTTTGCGAGGTGCGAATGGGATGATGACATCTCGAATTAAATTTTGCACAAAGGTGACAGTACTATAACACAATTTGTTCATATTCACTGTAGGCAACCCAATACAGTTAAATATTTAAGTATGCGGGCGCATTAATCTACCTAAACTTTTACCCACAGTTAATAGTTTATCATCACATTCGTCTTTTTTCATACTTTTACGTAACACTTGTAAGTCTTTCAATTTGTGTAATAATTCTAAAGACTCCAATTGTCGATTAGCTGCACGTTGACTATATGCAACCAATTGTACATGCGGTTGCTGTTTAGTAGACAAAATGGTGGCTGTTTCATGATTATGTTTATTAAAAGTATCTTTATTGCGCATGTCCAAATGCATGTACTCTAAGTCAATGCCGCCTCCTCGTGTAGGCACCTCCTGCTTTTGCACCCCGGAAGTTGATGGCGGCTGCATTCGTAACGGAGTCGTTCGTGACGAATGACGGGGAGCGGTTCGTGGCGTCCTGGAATTTACGCCTCTGCGACAGCTGCGAGAAGAAGGAGTTGAGCGCTGTGCCTGCGAGCGATGCATCACCCTCGGACATAATAATCCGTAATTACTAGCGTTGCTTACGTGATGTGCGTTACTGGTCGATGGTTTCGAGCGTTTCTTCGTTGTCGTCGGTTTTATCGGTTGCGCCACCTCTATTCCATCATTGGGATCACTATCGATTGAATTACTACTATTCTGGATCTCTTCCATTAAATCAGCTATTACAGGACCATTGTATCCAGCACTATGGTCAATCTGGGTACAATGACCATTGATTCGCATTCCGGGTGTGAACGGTGCTGTTAATCTTGACGTTTTTGGTGGATAGAAAACCATTTTTGCGTTCGTTTTCTTTGTCTTTCCGGCTTTTGCTGCGTTTGAAAATACGTCTTCCTCGCACGGATAAACTCATTCCAAGGTATGCAGGTGGGCGAAGTAGGGTTTGTTTGTAGATACACACGAAAAATCCTGTATCACAGTTTGGGTCTCGTTTCCGGTCGATTACAACTGCAAAATAATTTAGTTTAAAATTATTGATGATAATTGGAAATTTTAGGAACCTTTTACTAAATCCTCTAAACATTGGGGACACATCCTAGCAGTGACACTTGTAGATGAAGACAGGTCCGGACTTGAATTTATTTCAAGCAACCAAGGTTTATAGTCTTCCGCGAGGATAAAATCAGCGCCGTAGAGTTCGAATGTATTGGGACGGCGATCCATTGTGTCCTGACAACTCAACATTGAACCAATGATGGATTCCTTCATTCCTGTAAACCGGAAAACCGAATGTTACTAAATAAACACAAAATTCAAGTAAAAACAAAACATTAAAAACATTTCCGCAAAATTTTCAAAACCGGAAAACCGGAAGTGTGCTCCATCATACCATACCTGGATAAATAACTGATTCCCATTTATTCTGATGCCCCGTATTCCTCAAATATGTCTGAAACGTGTAGCAATCCCACATGTTATCTTCCGGAAGTGATTTATCTCTATCTAGCGTATTTTTGTACTTGCACTGTACTGCATGATTCGTCAAATGTAGACTCTCGTGAAAATTGTCCAAATTAAAAGTTTGTGAACTGAATCTCAGATAGCTTTCTTTGTACATCCAAATTATAAGCGGTTGTACACTTGTAATCAAAAACCATTGCCGGATATCAAATTTGGTATTATAAATAATCAGTGGTCTTTCAATATATTTCTGCACGACATACTTTAATTTCAAATCCATGATTCTGCCCACATCTTTAACATCTTTAATCAGTTGAATGCCTCGTCCACGACACTTATTTCCGGGTTTCATAATCCAAATATTTTTCATTCCGTCGAGATTCATTTGCGGCCAATAAAATTGTAATTTTTGAGAATCGCACGTGCCGCTGCAATGAGAACAGCAATCACGTAGTTTTTATTCTCTAAAAATCTTTGTTTATCATGGACGATCATCTGGAAGTGTTCGAGGAATTCCGTCCATTCACTAGGTTCCGCTCCCGGTATGTCTACATCAATATCCATGTGTTTTTTCGTCGCGATAAATTCATTGAGACGATCCATAGCAAATTGAAAAGCAGAGTAAGGTACTGATCCTTCGGGCGATTGAATAGCATATTGATCTTGTGTCTCGTGTAGATGTACTGTATGTTTTAAAAGTGACATGCATGCGGTGAGCCGGAAATCTTCAACGAAATTATTGTAATGATCCGGGAATCCTAGCACATAGCAACGTGGGAAGTATACGTTAGATACGCCTGGTTCGTTATGCCAATACACTTGTTGCAGTAAGAGACATAACCCTTCTTTGGATGTAAAGAGTGATCGTGAGAATCGAGACATTAATTTGTTGCAATTCAATCGGAATTGCATATCGTGCGTGTCCTTTCGTGTATTCCAATAAAAATCAACCTGAAAATACGCAAAACTAAATTTTTAGACGAAAAAAAAATTTAATACAATGTTTTGGTGGTTAAAAAGTTGCCTACATCGTGCATTTGGAGCAATCTTGACATAATGGTGCGTTCACACTTGAGCACATGCGCAGATTGCGTCTCCCAGGTTAGTTTCATCGGTAGATTTACGCATAATTCTTCTAAATTTGACGCTGATTGTGACAATGGTTTAGTTTTCATTGTGCATTCACATTTCTCGACCCAGTTACGTCGTAGGAATGCCCTCCGTAGTGTTTGCCATCCACCTAAAATCACATTTAATAAAATATATTCTATACAAGGTATGAACTTAACCTCTAATTGTAAAAACTCGATGTTCTTTGATTGCCTCTTCCACAATTTTTCGTAACTGTGCTAATCTTTCAGACGTAATAAAGTTTTTATATTTTGACGTGTGCTCACTACTCGATGTGCCCCTATACGGCGATTTATCGTGAGTATCATCTTTATTTACAACAGATTGTGACCTCGATGTTGAGTGCGGTGGAGAAAACGAAGAAGTTGGCGAGGGTGTGCGTCGATCAAATGAAGGACTTCTCAATGGCCGGATGACAATTGGACTGCCGTAAGTGGACATGCTGATGATATGATGATCGGTATGAAAAAAGAAGTAAATAAATGATGCGCATTTGTAAATATAAAATTTTGAAGTCACTGTGTTATCAACATTTGTGTCACTTTGATTAATCAATTTGTAAAAATTATAGAATTATATTTTATAGTGGTATTTGAAGTGCTGGATTTGTAAATGGTAATCCACTCTCATTTGAACCTTCACGGCGTTTGAAGAACTTTGCAACTACTAAAACTGAGCAGGGTGGAAAATGGTGGAGCGTTGTGGAAAACAGGGCAACAAAACTATTATTGTGAAATTAGGTTAAGGATGTTTACATCAGTCAAAAACAGAGACGTATTGACAAAAATTTCGAAAGGTAATCTATTTTTATAAGAAAAGTATTGAATTATTTACAAAAAATTAAATTTTTATTATTTTTATTTGTTTGAAAATTGTAGAATTCAATGTAAATGAAAAATTTAATACAATTCTGTGTTTTGGCGAATTTAGGTGAATGAGGATGAAGCGGGGTGAAAAGTATAAACGTCCTAGTTTTTGGGGAGGATGGTACCACACGGTACGTGCATATGGCGTGCGTGGTGCACGGAAAATTCGCGGCATTCGAGGTTTCCGCAATTAATTTAATTTGCATGCTTCGTTTTTTATTCCGTTTTCATTTAACCGACTCCAACGAACATAACCTCACAGGAAAATAATTTGCTGAGATAATAGATTAATCATCATTTAATAAATTACGTTTTTTGATGATTTATTTAACTGAATTTCTAAAAAAATAATTTAATATATAAATTTTATATTATTTATGTATTTTAAAAGAAATATGTTGTTGATAATTTTATTATTTAATGCTTCAACATATTATTATCACGCATCTCGTCCGTAATTAACAATCTAGTTTTAATTTGTCGCGCGTTTTTTTTTTGTTCAGCACTTATTATGCAAAACGTTTAATTCATTAAACAATCGCCGAGGCTGTTAATAAACATTTCGTCGTTTATTTTAATTAGCTAATGATGGTCATTTCGCTTTGATTCGATGCGATCGCTTGCGGTTCCAATCAGCGCGCTCATTTTTCACATCGTTTTACACGTTTTTCTGCAATTTTTTTCCTGCTTTCCGCTTGAGGGGTAATAAATTAACGTAACAAGCACTTCAATTACGGCGGTATTAAATTGTAATCATTGTTTGTCTCTATATATAATAATTAATCATGAAAAACTATAAAAAGAAGTATGACAACATTTGGTATAATATTAGTTAGACGGGCGTGGCATAGATGGCAGCACGGGTATCGAAAACAGAAAAATTGTGAAAACAACTGTTTTCAATTGATTTAAATTGAAAAAAAAAGTTTCTATATCTATAATATAAAAATGAATCGCAAAATTTGTTGGTAAGCGCATAATTCAACAACGCTTAGACTAATTTGGCCAATTTTTTTTAAATGTTCGTTCATGTCCAAGGATGGTTTTTACGGCCAGAAAAATTCGAATAATTGCCAAGAAAACCCTATAGACAGCCCTTTTCTATAGGATAAAAGTTGGCATTGAGATTCAATCATAGTTATAGTTAAATACAGTAGAGTCCGGTTATAATGACATCGAAGGGAATTGACAAACACGTCATAATAAGCGGACGTCATACAAAGCGTTTTGAGAAATGAAAACCCTTTTTTATGTAAATATGTACATATACATACATATTAAATCAAAATCAAAATTGCACGTAATCAGCACATTATAACACATACAAGTGTATTTTTTACTGCAAGTAATCTGTAATTTTTGTCTGCTTTTGTTTTTTCATTTAATTAATTTTCTTGTGATTTTCGAAGCCTCTTCGGTTTCAAAACATTTGAATTGAACGATTGCTTAATGCGGTTCTTGTTTTTTAAAAAGCATTGAGATTGTCGAATGACCCACGCCAAATTCGGATTAATGGAAAATACGGATTAAGTCGTGGTCAAGGTGCTGCTGCCCGAATGCTTATATTTATTATTTAAGCATTTGGTCTTTCCGATATTAAATACATAAAAGTAATTTGACAATCATAAAAGAAATGTAGCAATAAATATAAAAAGTTCGCCACGTGTCGAACGTCGTCGGGTATCAACGAACATTACCGGAGGTGTAAAGAATCATGTTGGTCATTATAACCGGACATTATCTGTTAAAAATGGGTCATAATAAGCGACATGTCACTGTAAGCGAAGTCATTATATCCGACTTTTTTATACAGAATTTTATATGAAAACCAAACTTGGTAGTGTAGGTACGTCATAATAACCGGTTGGTCAATATAAGCGGAGTCATAATAAACGGATTCTACTGTAGTTGAATCCGAGATGGCGCGCAGAAATGCATTATTAGCAATTTTTTATATAATTAATTTCTTTAATATAAAATTGCGAATCTTATTGATAGAATTGACACATACTATGACTAGAAAAAGAGAGTTAAAACGAATTACATTTTTATTCAACACTACCGGGAAAAAGCTAGTTTTTTATAATTTTCTATCATTATTATACCCTATTATATACGATAGATGGCGCTACATGATAAAACCATGTGCATATAGTTAACTCGTGATACTCCTGTGAGTTGATTTTTTTCGATGAATACCGAATCAAATTTTAGTACCAACACGAACGCCTGGCGTCGCTTGAAGTCTTCATTTTGCTCTCGCTGAGATTGGGCCGCTGATTGCCTCCGAATGACTCGACGCAAAACGCCGGCGCGCGGCAAACAAAAACGCGCGATAATAATCTAATTATTGGCGCGCTGCGGCGCGAGGATTGTTACCGACTACCTTTCGGGGGCTACCAGCCGGCGGAGATATGATACCCGCAACTACCGCTTCTATATTGCATGCATTGTGTGATGCGCGCTTATCATGTAATCTGAGTAATCTGTAATGTAATGAAACGATAATGAGATGACCAATAAGGAGACGAACGCTGCGGGCGCTCATACATCTTTCATCACGTGTATCACGCACGTGTTTTCCGTGCCTACTCGTCGAGTGCAACATTACAGGAATCTGTAAAATATTTTTTTGAGGTTAAAGTAGAATGGCAACTGTTTTAACCTCAAAAATTTATTGTAAATATCTATAGTTTTGTTGGTAAATGCCTCGGTCAAGCGAGTGACTTAAGTGAGATCGTAAAATCCTTCGCGTCGCTTAATTAAAGGATCACTTGTGCGCCGCGCTCGCGATCGTTATAAATTAAAATCCAATTAAACGCGGGCGCGCCGGCGTAAATTAAGCCCGGGCTGGGCCGCTTAACAGTAAAATTTATATCGCCGCCGCGCAAAAAGGGAAACGCGACGCATTTCATACTTTATTATGTTATAAACGAGCTCGCGGACGGCGCGGACTTCGCGTCTTACTACACATACAGCAGGAACAGATATAATTTGCTAAATATGATCTACAGGGTGTGTCGGAAACACACAACTATAAAATACATAAAAATACACGGTTTAATCAAAAATTATATTATAGGCAACCAAACATACACTAAATACAAAGTAGGAATTAGGAATTTTAGGTTAGGTTATATTTTTCGATTGTATGTATTAAATTTTAATCTTAATTATATGATAATGTTAATTTCAGGACGGCGCGTAATAAAAGCGATGATTTATGAATTCGCGTTGATGGGAAAATGGCGACTACCGTGTATGCACTCACTGTTTTTATTAATGTCGGCCGGTCGTCCCAATGCGATGATAATTTAATTAAAATTATATGGCTTCGTATAGTGGGCCAGTTTATGTCAGCAATGGCAGCTTTAGCATTTTATTACGCTAACGGTGTTTCGCATTCAACATCCTTTTAAGACAATTTTATCAGATAAAAAATTTCATGAATTTAAAACGAATGCAACGCCATCCAGCAACTGAAATTGTTAACTGTTTAAGATAGGCACAAAATGGCCGACTTTATTTGATGTGTTAATCAACGTAATTATATACTGTGGCATGATGATGGTGCGATGGCAAATTACAGATTAAGATTATGAATTTGTGAATTGTAAATTGTGACCGGAAGGCATCGATGCTCGACTTCATGCTTGCAACAACAAAAATTGAAAAGCAAATTACATTTAATTTCATAATTTCATCACGCCGGTACACGGCTATGTTATTTACGAGCTGATTTAAAATCTTTAATCGATGTTCATTTATTTTTAATCAATATATTTTTTTAAATTGTTTTTAGAGGTTATGTCGGTTGATTTTGTGGAGTAAACTGTAAAATTATACTTTATAATCTTTTTGCGATTTCAAAATTAACTAAAACATGGAAAATTAAAGCCGCACGACTTTGTCCCGGCAGTGTTTAATAAAAATGTAATTTGTTTTTACTCTATTGTTCTAGACATAGTATGTGTCAATTCTATCAATAAGATTCGCGATTTTAGTTTAAAGAAATTAATTATATAAAGAACTAGCTGACCTGGCGAACTTCGTACCGCCTTATTTATTTTTTTATTTATTTAAACTTTATTACCCAAAAAATAATATTGTACAAAAGGCGTACTTAATGCCGTAAGGCATTCTCTGCCAGTCACATCGCTAGCGACCCGCCCCGGCTTCGCACGGAAGTAAAAAACGGCATCAAAATCCGTTGCGTAGTTTCAATGATTTAAGCATACAAAGGGACAGACAGAGAAAGCGACTTTCCTTTTTCAAACAAAAACCTGTGTGTCAAAAACTTTAATAACCGTATTGTTGGCGCGGCGGGTATGTCACAAATTACCACAGATTACTATGTAAGTCATGTGAAGTTTATATATGCGTTCTGAAATCTCACACATAGATGGCGTGACAACGGGAAACGGGTTTTATTTTTTTTCAATCTTTCCGAGACATTTTCCTAATATTTTTTTCCGTAAGAACCTCCTACAGAGTATTAGAAAACTGCAAAAAAAAAATCAGCCAAATCGGTCCAGCCGTTTTCATGTGATGGCTTGACCACGCGAAACGGGTTTCATTTTTATATATATAGATAGATTGGTAATAATGCACTTCAGCCAACTTTTATCCTATAGAAAAGGGCTGTCTTTAGGGTTTATCCGGCAATACTTCAAATTTTTCTCGCCGTAAAAACCATTCTTGTACTTTAACATACATATAAAAAAAGAATTGGCCAAATTGCTTTAGGCGTTATTGAGTTATGCGCTTACCAACAGATTTTACAATTCGTTTATACAATACAGATCATCAAATTATTGAATATTTCATTATTTTCAAATAATAAAGACCTTAAAATTGTCAAATTCTAAAAATTTAAATGTTATACAAATATGGCGACACTGAAACAGTAAATAACCCCAAATTATAACCT